CCTCAAGTTTAAGGGCCGACTTACCTGATATCCTACCAAATCCTATGACTGTGCAACCAAACTCAACGCTCATCATAGAAGTCCTTATCGGAGACACTGCTTTGAGTTCCCACTGGCAAATTTTACCTGGGTTGGAAATAAGTTATAAAACTACATATAACAAGCCTTATTCTTCAGACAACCGTTATCATATCATCAGGCACGAGGAATCGGCCCTCTTAGTAGACCCCCCGATGGTTGATGTGAGACAAAATCCACCTATTGACCTTTCCCATATTTTCCTGCATGAGAACCTAGCCATTATTAGTCTCAAATACATTGAGGACTATTTAACTAGCGACCAATTAAAATATATCTTGTAATATATATTATACACACAGGATGGGTCTGTACCCAGTCGTAGAAGAAGTAGCGAAGACACCGGAAACCATAGACGGGTTTCAGTTGAAACAGTTATGTGATGTTAAAGGCCAACTAGAAAAAGACCGCGACACACGGGCAGCATTGTACAAGAAGTACCATAGGGCTTTCAATGCCGTGGATGGGGTTGATACCGCCCTTATGACAACCAGCATGGGACTAGGGGCGGTAGGTGTCGGGTTCTTGGCCACCATCGTAGCCGCACCAATAGTGCTAGGCATCGAAATAACAGCTTGGGTGTCAGGGTTGGGGGGGGTTGGTGTTTAAGTTTGCATCCCACAGACTGCATCGTAAAGCGTTGAAGCACAACGAGATCAGGGTTCTGGCCGAAGCAAAGCTGAACACGGTAAGCGACCACATCTCCACCGCACTCACTGACAGTAAAGTCTCCGAGGAGGAGTTTTGTTTGGTCCTCTCTGAACTCACAAAATATCACGAAATGAAACGAGAGATTCGAAACAAGTCTCGTAAAAGCACTGTCATCAGCGAAGACAAGAAAAAAAGTACATAGAACAGGGGATACAACAAGCCCAGCAAGCTTTCATTACGAAAACCAAAGAAATCATAGGAGATTCACGTTAAACTGTTTTGCTGAGATCAACATCATGTAGGGCAGCCACGGGCCGCCGTCAAAGAGGAATCACGGCACAGTGTTACCCCCAAGCAAATTATTTAACACTTACTGTTTAGTGATCCCAATAGTATCCTGTTACTAACTGTTTCCTGTCAACACGACATAGAGCTATCGTGATCAGGAAAGTGTTGGTTCGCGGTCATAGTGACCAGGAAGTAAACTGGGGGTTCAAACAGTGGTATATACAATAGCGGAGAGAGATAAGGGCCTGACGAAAGTTTTATTTCATAAATGAAGTTTTACAGAGGCTTTTGTTGGACTTGATCTCGTACCCCCAGGTGTATATACTACTCATTGATTTCCATTCGCAAAACATCGGTGATTTCCATACATCATACGTGACTCAATTATTCGAGATAGTGAGTGAGTTTAGTTTAAAGCCGCACTCAGCAATATTCTAGCTATATGGCGGTAGTCTGTAAATAATCGAGCCTGGACCAGTCATTTCAGTGATCTACAGCATAAGTATAGAGATCTACGCAATCGGGAGCCGATGACATGTGTCAACCAAGTCAGCGAGCCTGGCCACCCGATCCCGTAAGTCGCCTCTTACGACAAGCGTGGGTTACTGATCAATATTCTAACCCGGATCTTCACCGGTCGTCGATGAGAGACAGGATCAGTGTTAGACTGTCCATCACTAGTTGCAGTGTCATCAAGTAGTTCTGTCCATCATCATACTCATCATCTATGATCATGCATTCTAACCCGGACCTTCACGGGTCGTCGATGAGAGAGAGGATCAGTGTTAGACTGTCCATCACTAGTTGCGGTATCATCAAGATCTGTCCATCATCATCTATGATCATGCATTCTAACCCGGACCTTCACGTCGATGAGAGAGAGGATCAGTGTTAGATTGTCCATCACTAGTTGCAGTGTCATCAAGTAGATCTGTCCATCATCATACTCATCATCTATGATCATGCATTCTAACCCGGACCTTCACGGGTCGTCGATGAGAGAGAGGATCAGTGTCAGACTGTCCATCACTAGTTGCGGTATCATCAAGTAGATCTGTCCATCATCATACTCATCATCTATGATCATGCATTCTAACCCGGTCCTTCACGGGTCTTATTCGAGATAAGGAATTACTAACACGAAGTACCAATGAATTCCCACAATTCGGCATTTCAAGCGGGTAACATAGAAAATGTTACTCGCTTGTAAGCGGGGGTACATTGAAAATTATAGAAGAACGCTCAGCAATTCAGAAAACGACATTTATGGGTGCGCTAAGATAAAAAAATGCAAAATTGAACATTTTGCTTTAACCAGTTTTTGTTCCGGATTTCCAGCCAGTGGCTTGTCGATACTAACACTGACCTTATCTGGTATTCGTGTTCTAGCACTATAAATCCGGCTTAACCCCCGAATGATTACTTATTGATTTCGACGCACATTTGAAAACGATAAGGAAAGTGAAAAATACGCTCAAGGCAAGGATTTAGTTCCCGACGTTCAAATTACGCAGCTGTAAATTTCTTGATTCTTGTTCAATGAACCGTGCGTCGAGTTTATGTGGAATATTAATTTCCCCTCTGACAGAATATATTCATCTGCAGACATGGTACGAGTTCGGAAAGAGCAAATTTCTAAGCCTTTTCTTGTATCTCAATGTAGGAATTGTGCGATTGTTATGTAACAGCTTCGCGGAAAGTGAACGGACAATATGCTTTGTTTCTGAACGAATGAATATTTTAGAATATAATACAAATGTCTTACCCGTACTTACGAAAACCGACCATAAACCAAAGAGACTCATGTTTAACACAATATGACTCAGGTCAGGTGGTTGAAATTTGTGAATGAGGGCAAAAATATTTTTAAATGAGTTATCAAAAACAATATTAAAACTATACCTGAGTATAACACAAATTATAAATTGTCCCTGTCGAAAATGTCAATTTGTCTTAGATGGCACCTTCACTTTGTGTGGGCGTATATTGACTGCACTGTTCTAGCCTCAAATAACTGCAAAATTGCAAAATCCACATTTCCTCACTCACTGTTGCTGGAATACTAGCCTCGTCAGATGTGATGAATTTGAAATCACGGCTTCAAAAAATGTAATTGGAAGCTGGATCAAAACAACGGAAAATATCTGTTTTGACCACGTAAATATCGCCTTGAACACAATTATCTCGACCGTGTCCCCTACCTGGACATAATGGGCATTTGTTTGGTGTCGATATTTACCTGATCAGTTATCAAAATGAATATTTCAACATTGTATATGTATATGCCTATTATCATCATTATGTAGTTTTCATCTTGTTTCAAAATGATACAATAAAAGATTAAATGAAAATTCAAACGAGCTATCATAATCGTATGAGGTTAAACCATCGGCTTACATGGCACCTGTATATTTATATTTCACAATTCCTGGAGAAAGTTTCCCGTCCTGTGATTTATGATATAATATTTACAAAGGTAAATCGATTATTATACAATACTAGAGGAATAATTCGTAAACCATGTATGACTTCATTGGTGAGGTGAGGTGTAACGTCGTGCTTGAGAATATTTCGCTCATATGACGACGTGCATGCGTGTGTATGTGTATGTGCGGCTGCTTGTACTTAGGCTGATTTTATAGTGCTAGCCCACTGAGATACCATGCCGTAGTGAAGCATGAATACCCTACTCAGACACATTATACTGACTCCGAGCCGACCAGTCCTTGTTGTACCCATTAATGCCGAGCGCCAGGCAGGGACCAACAAGTACCATATTTTAACGTCTTTTGGTATAACGCGGTCGGGGATGGAACCCGCGACCCTCCGCTCTCCGGGCGGACGCTCTAACCACTACACCACGGAGGCGGTCACTTGATTGGTCGATTAAACGACCAATACTTAGTATATTAAGTCTGAGATAGTTCTTTATGGAATATATTCAATGAAATTATTTCGTTGATAGGAAACATTCATATTTAATTACAATACATAAAATCTCTATTTATTAACCTGTACATGTGCCGGTTATACTTGTGTCATATTTTGAGCGAGATATAGTATACAACACATTTGTCAGTTTCTCTTGTAAATAATGTTAATACATGTTATCAAGGTTTATACATGTTGTAGCCAGGATATAGGCATGGCATGACGTTGAGCATTATCAAGGTTTATACATGTTGTAGCCAGGATATAGGCATGGCATGACGTTGAACATTATCAAGGTTTATACATGTTGTAGCCAGGATATAGGCATGGCATGACGTTGAACATTATCAAGGTTTATACATGTTGTAGCCAGGATATAGGCATGGCATGACGTTGAACATTATCAAGGTTTATACATGTTGTAGCCAGGATATAGGCATGGCATGACGTTGAACATTATCAAAGTTTATACATGTTGTAGCCAGGATATAGGCATGGCATGACGTTGAGCATTATCAAGGTTTATACATGTTGTACAGGATATAGGCATGGCATGATGTTGAGCATTATCATGGTTTATACATGTTGTAGCCAGGATATAGGCATGCCATGACGTTGAACATTATCAAAGTTTATACATGTTGTAGCCAGGATATAGGCATGGCATGACGTTGAACATTATCAATACCCAGCGTGAATTCCTCAGCGAAGAGACAAGTCAAGATAAAAACCGCATGACGGGCGAAGCGATCGGCCATGTGCAATTTTATCCATCCGACACTCATCTCCAAGAAAATACCACAGACAGCGTTAGGGAATAATCCTTTAATATAGGGATAGTGGTCTTCCATTATGATCACAGTGCGGATTCAGTTATTTACCACCTCGACGAGGAAATATCGGAAAAACCTCCGAAACAAAGCCAATATTCATCGGATGGAATAATGGTTTCGCTTTGAAACTTTAGAGCCGAGACGCGGATTTGGTTATTGCTTCACCTCGCGTCACCCTCCATGAGTATTCTTCGTTCAGGGAGATACATTACACAAAGAGGCAACATTAACGTTTATTCAATAGAAGATTATATTCACACATCTCCGTTAAACATTGTACAGTTTACACAACATAAAAAGTAGTGTACAAGTCGAAATAAAGAAACAATGGGTCATCCATGTTTATGGTGTAAAAAATACAAACAAACGTATACTCATTTGAGGATCCTTGCGGCCAAGTATTGCCTTGTTTTCAATTGTTATTGCTTTATAATAGTACGTAAAGGTATGTGAAAACATGGAGCTGTGTGATTTCAATATCCTGTCTACACCAACATCCCATGTACGTATTTAGTCGGATCTGCGTCCGAAAGGTCTGGGTGCTCTCTTCGCATGTCGCGTTGTCAAGGAAGCCCAAATGAAGTCGGTTCGAAAGATGCGTCGATACCTGAGAGCTTTAGTTGCATGTTCTTCCCGCAGTACTACGATAGGCTCTGGTAATGTCTACAGAATGTCGGGGAAAGTTCGACGACAGCGCCGAGGACAGAAGGTACGAATTTGCGTTGAGGAAAAACTTAAAACTGAAAACAAGAAAAAGATAGCATCAGTCTGGCTGGTCGTCATTCATGTGAGCAAATACATGGTTACAACACACATGGGTTTATGGGGCTCGTTCCTCAAAGCATTCAGTTGTGAGCCTATGATGATCTGTATAGTTACGATAACTCATAACCCTGGATTACATTTCCCATAAGAGGTTGGCTTAAAGAAAGATTCGATCTGGTTACTATATAGCACCTGTTACAACAAATGCAAGCGATATCAGACATATATTCCCAACCAATTAAATCCTATCCTCAACATAAACTCCGGAAACATATTCAGGAGATATCAGACACTTATTCCTAGTGCAGTCATGTTACAATATACAACCTCCCTTCCCAACACATTATTGCCATGTTAGGCACCAGCTAGTATGGGTTCTTGGGCAGGGGCAGGGGTTGGTGTCTCTTGCACAGCCATGCGGACGCTGTCGACAAAACTTCGGAACTGTTGAGGGATCTTTGACGTGATAACATGGGTACAGCTGCAGGAGAATATGGGGTGTACACCACAGACGTCCTGGACATGATACTGGCATTGATATGACAAGATGAAGCAGATTGAGAAATTACTTAATTACAACAGGAATTGATGTTTTGTAACAAGTAGGGCAGTATTATTCTCATCAAGATCTGTCCAAAAACAGTTAGGAATCTATTGAAGAAACATAATCCTATGATAACAACTACTCAGAATAATTCGACAAATCAAAGAATTGATGATTTTAATAATCTGCTTAACACAGTACCCCTCCAGACTATGTATCCCTCTTTCATGAATAATCAGATAATACCTGTGAAGACAACCAGCAAATCAACTCTGACTTCAAACAGTCCTTTCCAAGGAGAAAATCTTCAACAGTTTTAAAGAGCCTAAATCACCTTGTCCGACTGGTTTGGATATGAATTGTTAAATCAACACGCGCCTCCACTGCAAACTGAACCTTTCAATGAAGATGAAATGTCTGGGACAGAAGCATTATATGTTCGCTTCACAAGCCTCGCAACTCGCAGGACACAAGCAGCTTTTGAGTGAGTGAGGGAGCGAGTTTTTTGCATTTCAGGCTATGGTACAAATGTACTTACAGAAGAAGAAGAAGGTGCGATTGTCAGGTCCCTTTATTGACTGTTCTAAACTTTAAAGGGATAATTTTGCTTTTCTATCTAGGAATGTCCAGCAATTGGACGCCACACGTAATCATTTCAAGCTTATAGTTTCTATGTACCCAGAACTCGCAACCTGACGTCTTACTGGACTGTAATGTCAAGGCTGTGTACAGAGCCTTCAAATCTTCATTATATTTATCAATCAACTTGGAACTAGATTGGAAGAAAATTGTGGTCGAGGTAGGGTTTTACGCGACGTGTAAATGTGAATCCAGTACGAACACATGTAGAAAATGGACTCAGAAAAAAATCACTGCGTCCGGAGGGATGCACAATATTATTCATTGTACGGACAACACAGCCATGACTTTGCTAAGTGTTTGGTTGTTTCTGTCAGAGCAATTACGTGCACCTTTTCATCCATCAGTCCACATAATCAATGATAAATTCCAGGCTCTAAGAAAAAAATATGAAAACGTACAGTTCCCTACACAGTTACACGACAGGAACCTTAAAACTAATAAGGGGCCGTTGAGAATTTATGGTTAGGGGGTGTGGGGGTGTGTGATGATGATTTTTATAGAGAAGCATGTACAATGTGAATGACCCCCCTAAATTTTATGTACAAAATAAGTGACCCCCCTGCATGTCATGTACAAAATCTATGACCCCCCCTCCACTTCCCATAATTTCTAAGCATGATTTTAAAGATATTTTTATGTACAAAATCAATGACCCCCTAGTACGTGTGTACAAAATTGCTGACCACCCCCCTAGCTCCCCAGAACAAAATGGGTGACCCCCCCCTTAAAATCATCATCACCCCACTAGCCATAAATTATGAACGGTCCCTAATTAGAGATCCCGGGACCCCACGCTTGTGAGTCGAGGTTAAACCCAGGGTCGGGGGATACTTTTGTCTTTCTGTTTTGGCACAAGTGTATGCTGATGGTGTGTCAGCAGGATTTAGACAATAACTAACGAGTGGCGAGTTGGTTATTGTTTTTATTACCTATATCCCTTTTCGATCTAAAAACGCTAAAATGAAAACATCAGTTTCTCTATTATTTAATCCCCATATCCCTACGCGTGTGGTGCGGCTTCATTTCATTGGCTGAAATCAGCCAATCAACGTTCACCAGGTGTAACCTCCATTGGGACATAAAGGAAAATACTACCCTATCCATATGTCCTCCTATCCATATAGGTAATAACAGGCCCTACAAACCAACTTCTGAAGAAAATAAATGTTGTTAAAGAGTTCTGTAATGCTTCGGGAATGAATATCAATATTAAAAAGACAACCAGAATTTCAAAGGGAAACAGGTAGAAACTGTGGATTATTACGAATATCTGGAATTATTGTGGATGTTTATGATGTTGATCACTGGATTGTCTGGTCCAGATTCAGTTATTTACAGACCGCCGACATATAGCTGGATTGTTTTTAAACAACAAACAGACGTACATATCTTAATCTTAAGAACAAACTCAGTCATTCATTCTTACCACTATTTCATTTGGCTCCACAGTGAACACAATCGTCATATGAGCGAAATATTCTCAAGCACGACGTTAAACCCAATTTCACCTCACCTCACCACAGTGAACACCTAGCATTTAACACTTTACGCCAGCTCAAATCATATATTTAGCTGTATCCAACACGCCTATGTTTACTATTACTTACAAGTTACCCCTTCATTTTCAGCTGCTGTGAACCCAAACAAGCCCAAGATCCCAGCCCAAGACCGAAGTCCAAAACCCCAGCCACCACCCCAGGTTTTACTGTATGAAGTATGTGACGCCCTTTCCTGATACGAGGGAGTGAAGTTGATACCTGTATTCACAACACATGTACATGGGCGTGCTGGTGTTGAGATTCACCAAACTCTATATACCTGTTATTTCCGTGCTCATCTGTGTATCTGTTGAAGTCCTTTCCCAGCACCCAGTACAGCTCTCCTTCCGTGAACACAGGACACCCACACTCTTGTCTTGTCACAAACGTCACGTGTTGCTGGGCCATGTCACCGACACCTGGAACATTGTGGGAGTAGAGTGGCAACCCCATGTCTGTGTCTGTATCTGGTGTATAACCCAACTGACATTTCGTTCCAGAAATACAGTATAAAATGCATCAAATATGTTTGTTTACAAAACAAATCTAAATGGTGCCCAGAATAATTATTTTTTATTTTTTTTATTTGCACAATTTTTCAAAGTACAGGTACAGAGTAATTCTTAACTTCCAAGAGCTAAGACAATCTAGACTGGCCAGAAAATCTTAGCTTCGGTAGGCCTACTATGTATTTTCTTCTGTCTGGTAGACAGAAATGCCCATACCAACAGTTTGTATTTGGTTTATAACGCCGACTTAGACTCAAATTTCGTCTCAGAAATAAAGTTCAAAGTATGAATAATTCACAGTGGCCAGAGCTGAGGCAATCATGATTCGGAAAATCATTTGACTGAGTAGGGCTACTCTTTCATTTCTTCTGTAGTGTCTTGGAGGCAGACTAACCCATATCAACAGTCCATTTGAAAAACGCTGACTCAGCAATATTCCACCTCAATGACGCTGGTCTGTCACATATTGGATATGAGCCGCGACATGTTCTTGTCTCGGGAACCCACAACTGTCACAGGAAGGACTCACAACGTGGTAAGTTCAACAGAGTTCAGTACTTCATAACTGAACGACGTTACCGACTGGATCTACCCCACCTGCTATGCAAGGCTGACTGACTACATGCATCATGACTTCACGTCATACAATAACGTCAGATCCGGTGACGTACTGAAAGTGCGGGAGTTAGAATGGGCTCGGGAAAACCCTTACTGTTTATAACGCACACACCACTGGCCGTACAATCCCGTGACTGATATTATGAACACCGCCCCACGCAATCGGCTACGTAGAATGACAGGCTGTGATCCACGTCACCTAGCCTTACCATGCGATTCAGCCATCCTTTCCGAAATGCTTAATTGAATCATTTCTTACAGCCAATCACCTGATTTTAACAAGACCATACGGAGTATAGCACGTTCATTTTAGACTTACATGGCTTTAAGTCTTCTTCAACGTTAAACATCAGATGTCTGTAGCCATTGTGTTCCTCCATTGCCAGCGCTCGTAGCTTGAAGGCTGAAGCAGTCGAATTTGACCATTAGCTGGCGTTGTAATCTACATCTCTCAGGCATGTGTATGTACATATGTTGGAAGCTAACAATATTATATGCTGAGCTTAGAGTAAGCGAGTGAAGGTTGTTTTCCGCTACGGCCTCATTGAGTTTGCTTTGACATTGATATAGATGTGAATAATATTGTGACAGCCAGGTGCGCCCATGACTACAATCAATTGGATTAAACACATTTCTTACACCCGGTGTCTCCTGTGACCACTGACCAGAAATTATGTCACAGCTCACCCAGAAGTGAATGGTTACCAAGTAGGATGGGAATGGTACTGTTGCTATTAACATTTTGGCGTCTCACTTGCGCTCCTCCCTACCCAGTTGACCCACTTTCCATCTCCTTGCCTGGCTTAAAGTAGAAGTTGCAGCATCTTCAAGTCTAAACTTAATTCAAACATATCTCTGGAAAGACTCGGCAATTAAGGAGGATATGATCTTCAAAATGGGAGTTCGACCTCATCTACGTAAAGATTTCTTAGGGGTGTTGGGGGTCTGTGTACCTCATCACGTTTGAATACGAAACTCAATGGAATGAAATACTCTAGTTAAACAGACTGGAACAGACTGATTCCTGAGAAATCCATGTTAAGCATGCACGTTGTTGTAAAGGTGTTTTGTATGAATTCTATGTATAAACCTCATTTCACCAAATCGCGTAAAGAATAGTCCCCAGGAGTCACCCTTCGACCCACATTTATTGCATGAAAGCTGGCGGCGCACCCCAGATGTCTTGGACAGTTTCACTCGTTCACATGACTACCATATTTCATAACAAAATCGGTTGGCAGCTTCCAGGATTGGTCATAGCACAGGTTTTGGGAGTAAGGGAAGGTATGTATTGCTATGTTATCACTGTCCCAGCAAGGAGATGTTCATAGATAATTTCCAACCCTATCGTATATCACATTTGCTCAACATTAAATTGTGTGTAACAAACAAATCACGAAATATCAGTTCTCCTTTGCTTCCACTGATGATTTGTACGCAGTAAAGCAAATGGGTCCAACAAATGACTGCTGGCTTGTAATCCCACACTCTTCAAAACATTGATTGAACTTCCAACGCATTACTCTGATTCTGACATTTGGAAACATTTCTCCTCACGTACCATACGTCGAGGCTCCCGCCAGGGCGCGGAGCTGAGTCCTTCCCGGGGTGTTTCGCCGACCGCAATCCACACACTTATCTGGAGAATTGCAAGGTGTATTTACATCAGCATGATGGCAATGTTAAAAAAACTAACATAGACAACAAGACCGATCAGTGAACGCGAGTTTCCACAGTATTTCAGTTATATTACTCAAAATATATTAAGGAACACACGGTTCTTTCATATAAGAACATTGGAGCAGTCATTGGTGGTGGTTGTTGCAACTTTGAGCTCATCAAGTTAGGGTATCGGAATTCTGTGTGCTGTTTTGTATATAAATTTAATAGGGGGAATCCTTCATGACAAATTTCAGGTCTTGTAGCTTTACATGAGTGTCAAAAATGTAAGACGGACTACATGCCACAGCATGAGCTCCTGGCTTTATGCCAGGCATTTCTAATTGGTCCCATGACTTTTCGAATACCGACCGTTTATACAGCTGCATCCTCTCATCTGGTCATTGACCTGAAGTGGACAATAGAAAGGCGTGCTGACTACGTTATCCCCACTCTCATACGTTCGTGGACACGTCCATTCTGAAACGAAACTTGAAATGAACTGATTGTGATTGTTAAGTTTTAGTTGTTTAACGCCGCACTCCAATTATCCAGCTATGTGACATCAGTCTGCAAAAAATCGAGGCTGAACCGGACAATCGAGTGATTGATACCTTGAACATCGACCTTTTGGGATACGATGCCACGCATGAAACAAGTCAGCGAGCATGACCACTGACTCCGTCAATCGCCTCTTACAACAAGCATAGGTTGCTGAAGACCTGGATCTTGAACGGATTGTGATTGTTCGGGTTTGTTTGATGTTTAAGGCTGAATGATCATGATGAAAGGTTCGAAGTGGTCAAAAGCCCGTGTCTACTGTTACTGGCCCAAATATACATGCCAGCTGAGTGCAGGGGGATAGCTTAGTTATATCACGTCGTGACGTCAGGTGGAAGTGAGAATGGTTTTCAATCGTGCAACCTGTCCTACGTTCAGATACAGTTGGTAGATATAACTTGGCACTATATATATGGTCTTTACTTCAGAATTAACGAATATTTCATTGGTGTATGGAAATATGAAAATATATTTGTAAAGCGGATACAACATCGTACTGTTGACATACACCAACCAGTGAGGCACAATTCAGCAACCTAAGGTGGTCTCACAACCTTCTGGTGTGGCGCCATAACAATCGTTAAATGTCCGACTTCTGGTGTCCCCCGCCGTCATGTTTGGATGACGGCGGGGATTATGTTGTGGATTATTGCTAAAAGCGACGTAAAACCATACTCAGTCAGCCAGTTAAAGTCGGACGGAAGTATAAAGTGAAACATATGTTCGACCTCAACATTTGGTAAAAAACACTCTGTGAATAGTATCCATGATCACAATTTGGGGAAATCTCGGATGTAAGCCCTCAATCAAAGGTTTCTGTATTCAGAGGAAGCAAAGATATTTCAAGGATCTCACCGTCCACATTGAAGCTCCGTAGTGTGACTGTGGCAGGCTTAATACGGAATACGTCACTGATCTTCATAATACGGAAGCCTACGCACTCTTCTTCTTCTGCGCTCACCTAAAACGTCAGTCGACTGATTGATCATCAACATTGTAACAGGTGTTCGGGCAACTAAATTGATCATCAACATTGTAACAGGTGTTCGGGCAACTAAATTGATCATCAACATTGTAACAGGTGTTCGGGCAACTAAATTGATCATCAACATTGTAACAGGTGTTCGGGCAACTAAATTGATCATCAACATTGTAACAGGTGTTCGGGCAACTAAATTGATCATCAACATTGTAACAGGTGTTCGGGCAACTAAATTGATCATCAACATTGTAACAGGTGTTCGGGCAACTAAATTGATCATCAACATTGTAACATTGATCATCAACATTGTGTTCGGGCAACTAAATTGATCATCAACATTGTAACAGGTGTTCGGGCAACTAAATTGATCATCAACATTGTAACAGGTGTTCGGGCAACTAAATTGATCATCAACATTGTAACAGGTGTTCGGGCAACTAAATTGATCATCAACATTGTAACAGGTGTTTGGGCAACTAAGCCCATTTACACATTGCCCATCATGAAGGTTTCCTAAGTTTCTAAAATTTCATAAAGTTGCAAAGCTGCCACACGCTTTAATATAAGCAAGATCTACAACTGAACTTCATGGCGAACGATATTGCCTGGAACATACTAGTCCAGCCAATGAGAGATCAATATTGAAAGCTGTAAGACATTCCACCAGCGCCTTACGTTGATTTACATATTTTGGGCAATGTAGTAGATAGTAGCCTCATTATCAAGCTGATTACACACACTGTACACGTGGTAGAAATATCTTTATTAATAATATTGAGACATGTACCAAAACCACAATGCCCAATACGAGGTCTGGTTAAAAGAACCTCTTCTCAACGAGGGGCGGTTCGGTAGCCAAGTGGTTAAAGCGTTCGTTCGTCACGCTGAAGACCCGGGTTCGATTCCCCACATGGGTACAATGTTTGAAATGGCCCTCAATCACTTCTCTCCGATTGTGTTACTCTTGTCTTAACTGAAACTGGTTTGAGTTTAACGCCGCTACACAGTGTTCCAGTTACACCACGACGTGTCAGCTTAATGACTCAGGAATGCCACCCGTGAAGATCCGGGTTAGAATGTGTCATTCACCAGTAACCCATGCTTGTCGTAAGAAGCGAATAACGGGATCGGGTGGTCAGGCTCGCAATATTCCAGCTATATGGCGGCGGTCTGTAAATAATCAAGTCTGGACCAGACAATCCAGTGGTCAACATCACTAGCATCTATCTACGCAATTGGATACGATAATATGTGTCCACCAAGTAGCGAGCCTGACCACCCGACCCTAATACGACAGGCATTTTTTGCTGAAGACCAAGTTTAACCCGGAGTTTAACGGGTGAGTGGAGCAGAGAGACAGACAGACTTTCCTTCATATACATGTACATGCGACTGCACTATATATTTTCACAGTTTAGGTTTTCTTTGAGACTGAAATGGCGCTCGAAAGTCTCTCGGGTATATTATATCCTTTGCGTGAGATTTTGTGATGTGTACTCACCCTTCTCAGCTGTATCAGAACGTAGTCGTCATTGAAGGTAGCCGAGACAACGCGTTCCCCCTCTATCTGGGAACACAGAGAAGAGAAGGATTCATTTCAGAGTCATGCATATTCAGGACTTTCATTGTCTTGCTGAACATATTCATCAAGAATTTGTTTGTAGGGTCACTACTACGACTACTATTGCTTCTGTGACTACTGCTTCTACCACTACACCTACTACTTGTTCAACAACTACTACTCCAATTACCACTTGGTAGTTCAATCCACCATCTCTGTTTAATCAACACTTACATTCATTCATTCACCGAGTATCCCGTATAAATTGCTGAAGATCAAACTCGGACATCATTTCAACAATTACCTCTTGAAGGTCACATTCATTGGGAACATAGCCACTCAGCATACGAACGCGGATAAAGGTCTTGCCATGGTTGAAGTTGCCGTTATATCTGATGAATATAAGACAATATAAGACAATTGTTATGTTTGTAAGTTTTGGATCTGGCCTATTTGAACTCACAAGCTGTCATGTACACATATTATTCTGTATGTTTGTATTCAACTTATTGGGAACAATAAAAACACATAAAACATGGAAACTAGAAACATAATCACGGCAAATCCTAGCCCTATAGCAAAGGTCCCTGATTCTCCAAAAATGGGTAACTCTTTGCAACAAACTGCAGCACCATAGGCCATACATGTAGATATAATTGTGAAAGTATTCAAGGTGTTAATTCTAGTTTCACTCGTTCACTCACCCATGCTCCTCTTTTCTATTTCTGTATATTCAAATATATGTTCCGTATTTTTTCCAAGATCCATTATAAGTTTGATAATCAACAAGTAATCAATTACAACACTTGACGCGTTAAACAAAAGAATATTTTCAAATTTGTACAATCTGTGAGAATGCCCACCCCATTTTGGAATGCACTGACAGGAATCAAGAGTTCTTTAATTTGTCAGACAGAGAGCATTTTTTAATTATATTACATTGTTACATAACAATAAGACAAAACTATGCATCATTACACGATGCAAGGAGGTAGAGTGTATGGGTACCCGGAGGGATATGTCATATGAACTGCTTCTTCAGGCCGTTTAATGCAGTAACTGATTACATATATTGTTTTACGACACGAGTGCCTAAATATGGGCATATCCTCGCTCTCGCTCGGGAAATACCAACATTTAGGTACTGGTGTCGTAAACATAGTATGACACGGGAACTCATATAATATCCTCTATATAGAGTATTTTATAAATAAATCCCCGCCTTTTGCCAATATCATCTTCTGGATATACAACAAATTCAGGTACGATTTCTCGAGCAAGGCACTACTTACTTCAAACACACGTTTAAACAGTAAGTGGGTGGGGCATTGATGCCAGCGACATCTGATTCAATAGAGCACGTGAAACGGTCCCCCTTAGGGCACGTAAGTCGTGGACCACACACCGAACAGACGCCAGTGTTGCCTTCACGCAGTCTGAAAGGGAAACGAGTTGAATAAAGTTGCTGTAGTTATCACAGTTGATCAACATACATTGAGATTACAGAGCGTGGATGTTGAATGTGGAAAATATTCCTACGAGATATTTTTAAACGTTTTGATTTATCCACGAGCGAAAGTTATTCAGGACGCGTGTGAAATAAATAAGTATTTTGATAGATATTTATTATATTGATACACATTGATTATTATTATACATACTTATATTCTTGATAATATATGACCTTATGGAAATCCGAAAGCAGGCTGACTACGATATTCAATTATTACAGAGGCCAGTGTTAAATCAAATAAATTCGCAACTCCCTGGGGAGAATTCAGCCCAACTCCCTGTTGGGGGCCTAAACATTCTCAGTTTGTTGCCCTCGGACAAGTTAAATAATAATGAAACCAGATTTATCAGCTATGCCACAATGGATGCCCACGAGCCGTTTATTTCTATCTTACACATGAAATTGTCTGACTTCTGGTTTTTATATAGTAACCACAAGAAAACTAAAATGGTCAAAAAGGCATTTTTCAACCTCCTGTTAAATTCAAGTGTGGGAAGTTGTGGGCCCGAGCATGATGTTTTTACCATATGTTTCTACATTGTTAAACAAGAACACCACATGGGGTCAGAGATATGCCCATTTCTATCCTACCACGTCTGTGAAAACTGATGATATATTGAACGATCTTCGAGTTATGCTTCCGAAAATATAAAAACATTCCCTCAGTTAAACAAACCGAATGCATGTGTCATCAAAATGCCATTAAAGAGATATTGAACAGTTGAGAAGGAGGGACGAAACGGCCTTAAAATTATACACATCTACTCAACCACCCACCCATATTATGGCGGAGGACAAATGCTTCCCGTGAAACACTTCATTGCGGTGGACCTACCTCTCATAATCCAGATCAAATCGTGTAACATTCATGGTAAACTGGCAGTCAGCGTTCACGTCGACTGGGACATTGTAGCTGGCGTCCACGTGCATCTGACCAATGCCCTCTCCGGCTGTGAAGACATGCAGATTTTGTCCCAGGGGCACCTACAACATGAAATAAGGTGAAGCGAAAAATGGTTAAACGTTGCGTTCATGTTTATTGCTTCTTAAACCGCGCACCTACACGTGTGTGCGGTTGCTTGCGCTTTTCTCAAGCTTGCATTTCTCCGGATGGCCTACTGAGCTACCATGCCGATGTTTGAACATTAATTCCTCACTCAGACACAGCACACTGACTTTCAGCAAGTCAATCTTGTTTTATCTCCTCCATGCCAATGTCGTGCAGGGAAACAACAACCACCATCGTTTAACGTCTTTTTGTATGACGCGGCCAAACTTTCATCTCGCCACTATCCACTAGACCACGTTTACCGGAAGAATATGGTCGAAAGACAAGAAATCCTGGCATTATTCAACAAAACAGTCTCACGATAATTCTTCAGCATAAACACAAGCTGAGCGTAGCGTTAAAACCGACTTATATACACGGTCCAGACACGCCTCAAATTCAATTGAATCTAAATATGTACACATTTGGAAGAAACCCGGAGTTCTTATGCTTGTGAACCAAGATGATAATACTTATTATAGAATAACATATCATCACAAGCTATTCAGATTCACTGCAGATGATACAAATGGCAGCAATGTTTGTTTGCAGAACACATAATCATTAGTCTATGCATATATTTAGAAACACATGATTTTCCACAAGTACCACCCTCGATTTTAGAGCATATTATATTTCCATCTCCTGACCTTGACCTTGACCTGTCTGCTACCAAATGTTTGTTTCGGCAGTGGCATACGTGATAAAGAGATCTTCCTAAAGACATTACCTCACATGATTGTGGAATTTTATTGAACTGTAACTTTTACGTCCGCTCGTTCAAATTCGACTCGAACCTGAGAAAAGTGATCTAGAGAATTTCTTGAATGGATAATATTATTCACTGGTTATTCGATCATGTGTAATTATAGTTACAAGTTGCACATATAATGAGAATACACAGTCAATATATATGGAATCTATAATGGATTACAGTCCTGTTTCTGGGCAATGCATTATCATGATCTACTGCTCACAACTACTTAGGGGCGGTGGGGGCAGTCTGGTGGTTAAAGCGTTCGCTTGTCACGCCGAGGACCCGGGTTCGATTCTCTACATGTTTACAATGTGTGAAGGCATCTGGTGTCCCTCGCCATGATATTGCTGAAATATTGCTAAAAGCGGCGGCAAACTAAACTCAGCCTCACTCACTCACAGATATTATGGACTGAAAGTGGGTCGCTTGTGAAAACTGATAAAAAATTGAAATCTTCGAATGAATGAGGAGTGATCCATACAGCACCACTGCAAAATTGACAAGAAAATTTCCATCAAAAGAGGTAAGTAATTATGGGCAATAGTATACCTACATCTTGGAGAGACTGGGGTAGGAAGGCATCCTCTTCATCAAACATCATTCTGTGTGTGAAGTTTTCTGATGGAGACGCTGTAACATTGACGTCCAGATTGGTTTCATGGATCACCTTAGATTCCCTGTAGGAAGCCAGAGCCTCCGTAGCCACGGCTGTATCCTTGGGACGGGAAATACAAATTATCATATATCGTAATCGAAATAAGTGGATTATATGCAAAACTGCACGTAATGAAACCACTTTGAAACAAATCGTATTGGGTTTTATAGACTTTGTGGCTGTTTGATAAACGGCACAATATTCCAGCTACAAGCCTGCGATTTTGAAATATCCGAGTCTTGGCCAGACAATCCAGTGATACAACGAACATCGATCTGTGTATGGATTTTGATGACATGCATTAAACAAGTCAGCGAGCCTAAAATCTCATCCCTATAGTCGCCTTTAACCACAAGAAAAGGTTGCTAAGGATCAATTCTTACCCGGAAGTGGACTGTGGTTATCAGTGCCATGTGTCGTCATTGATGAAAACCAGTTGTATCACATAATGTCGTCTAACAAAGTCATATCAACTGATTATTTTATTTACACAACTAAATGAGCTAGATGTTGACTGATGAATGTCGAATTGATGTAATGTCACACGAGAATATTCAAATATCTCTGAGTAATAATTACATTTTGTAGATATTGAAATTGTTTCCACCTATTTTACTTGAATGTATTTAGAAACATTGACGAACCTTTTGTTCATACCATCGTTCCTGACACAAGCTTTAACATGCCCATTCATGTTACTTAACAGATTGGTCATTTTGAGGCGAAGTCCATGTATCATAATCCCCATAGCTTATGTCCTTGCCACTTTGAGTATTTAAACATCTATGTATCACACTCTGTAATATAAACATGTTATCAATTGTATATCCCTGTCTAAATCCAGTCATTTAGTTTATTCAACAAAACAAATCTTGGGTTGATATCTTCGGTGTTCATAATCGAGGTGAAAACTTTACTAATTATGTTTAACAGTGTGATTCCCCTGTAGTTATCAACATTGTTCAAATTGCCTTACTTATGTTATGTAAAAGACCAGGAGGTGAAATGTCCCTCTGTCTAATATCAGATAGAAATGTAACTCAAGATAAGGTTAGAAGAATCAGCAGATCATTTGAAAAATTCTGGAATTATATCATTTATTCCTGGAGATTTGTTAAGTATGAGGTTGTTTATGATATCAAATATCTCTTCTCTGGATATTGGAGAGTCATGAATTTCTTTTGTAAGGTCACTGTTTGGGTTATTATTTGACACAAAATCATGATCATCACTTTCAGTATTTCTCATTATCTACATTTTCACCTGAAAACAATGTTCTAAAGTGGTGAAACCTCTCTTGTGTTTTGATACTGTTTTTCTATACTTTCTTTCTATACTCATGCCAATAATGGTTGTCACCCCCCTCCCCACCCCAACCACACACACACACACCCCACACCCCCTCTCCAATAAAAAAATTTGAAGGGGTGACAACCATATTTAGTATATTTAAACATTTCATTTACCAAAATCTTTTGGAGTCATTAATGTTATTTTATTAAATTCTGTTTCTCTTCATAATATACAGTGCGTTTTTGCTTACAAAAGATATTGTATATATGACTTGATAGATTATATTGTTCCAATGATAATTTATCTTTATATTTTCTAAACTTGCTCAATGACTTGCAGCGTTCAGTTTGAAGTTTTGCTGTATTCATCATCATACCAATCAATAAAATCATTTTTCATATTTCCACACTTTCTTTTCATATCTGATGCTGCTAGACAAAGCTTAAGGGCGTATAAAGTCAATGCTATACATGTAAACGCACTATCGACCGATTTGTCTAAAATATTTTGGACAGAATCTGATGAACTATTTTGTTTAAAGGTCACATAAACCCTAGGGGGTACAAATACATAAATCACTAACTGGCACCGCTATAAATGAAACCCCGTCATTAACACTACTCATTTCGACCTTTAATTGACTTAAATCGACCTTTTTGACAACAGTGCACAATTCTCACCCGCGAACGAAATTTCAACCAATCAGAGCGGCGCGTCTCTGTGACGTCATATGAGGAATAGCTTTGAGGGCCGATGCAGAATTCATCTACATTTTAGGGGGTAAATAATCTTGTTTTCAGGCTTGTATAAACATTGTTGTGACAATTGTTGTGGAAAATGAAAGCTATATGTTCTCACAATCTACTGTCATTTAATTTTGTCTCCTGCTTTGCCTAGTTTCCGAGTTACAACTTGTTTTCGTAGACGATTCGGTCAAAATCGATTGGTGTCGTTAGGCCCTATTTGTAAAATGACTGATCCAAATTGATCCCATTTCTGTGTTTTTTTTTACCTCGATATTTAATCATGTCATGTAAAAATCTGTTTGTATTCTCAAAACAGTGTCGGCCCATAAGTTTTCACATGCAATACAACAATTGATAATCCCTTGTTGTAACCCGTGTTAGGTGGTATAAACCTACACATGTTATTTGTCATCATTCACTTGATGGTCAGTTAATGATATAATTAGTGGTATAATTAGTGGTAACACACTTAGATTACCCGACAAAGGTTCCCATTTGGCATTTCTTGTGTCTGGAGTAAATATTCAACATTATAAACATCGATCAAAGGATTAACCGATAACACGCTGATTGATTAATTACTTTTATCTTATACAGCGGAATTGTCAAAAGGTAGTGTTTATGTATGTAGATTTACTAATCTATACTGAATACACTCTGTCGTGTCGGTGTCTGCGTAAAAACAACGTCCTTCTTTCAAAGGATTAACCGGCAATACATTGATTGATTGCCCATTATTGGCTAACTAATTTACTGTTTTTAAAGAAAGGCGGACATTATGCAATTAGTTGCCAGGTGTGCTACCTAGGGTGACCAATGAGACTATACACCAATACCTGAAAAGATTTATCACTTTTTCGTATATTAAACTGTTAAAAGACACATCATTTGGAACAGTTTTGTGGATATTGATGGATACATTCCTCGAACAAGGTAATGGCCTGATATTGTTCTTATAACTTTAATCTGTTTTAATTTTAACATTTGCATGTTTTTTTTATTCATTTGTCGTAGCATTCAGGAGAATCATTGTTTTCGCCGTGAAGTGTAATGAGACAGACAACATGCACTAGGGTGTGTGTGCGAATTATGATTCACATTGGCAAACTATAAAATGTCTAGATATTACAGTTCTGTTATAAGTATCACTATAAGTATCAGCAGATCGTCTGCTTTTTATTTAGTTTCAAAATGCATACAAGTATGATAATAAACTAATTAGGATTATAAGACCAAATATAAAGACGCACATTGACTTGTATCTACATACTGGTGAGTGGACATTAACCATGTGAATGTAGCAAGAAATTTATCGCGCAGTATTGTGACTTCGACCCCCCACCTCGCTTCCGTGGAAGAAATCGTTATGTTATAAGTTGTGTCATGCAAAATCCTTTTGGTTATGATTCCAATACATATTTAACTACGAGTAGAAAGTAGTTTTGATTTTCTAACTTGATGAAAACAAACTATAATCTCATTAATTCTAACAGACTTTACGATTTTCAAAAAATGGCCGCGCCCTGTTGGGAACATCCGCCAGTCTGAGGATAAATGCTATTTAGGTTTGTTTTCACCGAGTTACAACATCAAAACTACTTTCTACTGGTAGTAAAATATGTATTTTATTGATGGCCAATAGGATTTTGCATGACATAGCGTATAACATAACAATTTCTCTCCTGGCAGCGAGGTGGGTGTCAATATAATACTACTTACAATATTATTGTTACTTCGACCACAACCTCGCTTCCGAGGAAGAAATCGTTATGTTACAAGTTGTGTCATGGAAAATCTTTATGGTCATCAATCATATACATATTTTACTACAACTAGTAAGTAGTTTTGATTCTTTAACTTCCGTGAAGCGATCTGAACACAAGTAAGATATGGTTTCAGGCTTCCACAACGCTCTCTTCGCACTCACAAACATAACCCATTTAGCACGAACTGCGGGGTCCTGTGGAAATCTGTGCATGGTGACCCCATCGCCCGACCCCTAGGAGCAATTGACGACAGAGCAACGATTCGGCATGTCGTCGTTGATGTCGAGAAATCATCAAAATGATGAGCATGCTACACACTTTCTATACAACTAACTGAAAATCGTTCCTCATATGACGTCACTGCAGTACTCTGGCGACAGAGTTACGTAACCTGTCTGTGGTTTCGTTGGCGGGCGAGAGGGAAGCAGGCGACTTTTTTTGGCCACTTTTAATCGCTCGGTATTAATTAACCACAAGTTTTTAAAGAATAAATTTGGTGTTCCGCATAAGACTAACCACAAATCTTTCATATGTAATGGTTAAAAGAGTAACAAAAAACAAAGTTTATTGGTTCTTTAAAATGTTCTAGTTTGTCTTTATCCCACACAGAAAGCATTATTCCAATTGTTGTTATGTGTGCATTTACATGGTTCTCTAACAGGAAGTGCGCGTAATGTCATAGTCATCGGTAGATGTGATAACTCAGTTCGAGATGGTATCACAAAGTCAGTTACCGCTGAAAAGATTTGGCGAAAAACACACCTAGAAATTCATCGTCAAATGTATTGCAATGCTCGCAATATGGTGAACAGTGAATTACGTTCCGCAAAGCAGGCATTCATCTCGAAAAACATTAAGGAGAGTAAAAAACAATCCGCGCCAACTACACCTTCACCTCAGTAACCTCCTCAAACGAAATTCCGACTGTTGTCTTCCTGAACACAGTGATCTGAAGAACTTAGCAGAGGAGTTTGTGACGTTCTTCTCCAGGAAAATTGAAGACATTCGGAGTGATTTGCAAAGTAGACAGGAACTGTGCACCATGGTCTCTGTTGAGGTTCTTTTCACAGGACAGCCACTCACCACATTTAGAACTCTTACAGGTCCCGATTTGAAGCTGGTCGTTTCTGCAGCAAAAGTGAAAACATCATCTCTTGATGTTCTGCCCACCTGGCTCACAAAATCCACGTTTTCTCATCTACTACCAGCTGTATTGGACATTTTCAACTCTTCTCTTAGTTGTGGTATAGTACCAAGTGTCTATAAGCAGGCTGTGATCACACCACTGTTGAAGAAACCAACCCTTGATGCAGACAATTTCAGAAACTACAGGCCAGTGTCAAATTTGTCCTTTCTGTCTAAATGTCTCGAGAAGATTGTTGCAAACAGAATTGTGGAACACCTTCAGCAACATGACTTGATGGAGCCCTACCAATCAGCGTACAGGTCAAAGCACAGTACAGAGACTGCGCTAGTCCAAGTACACAATGACATCATGACTGCCATGGACCAGCGTCAGGTGACTCTCCTTGTTCTTTTGGATCTCTCCAGTGCTTTTGATACTGTTGATCACCAAATTCTTCTGCAGCGTCTGAAGGTCAGAGTCGGTATCGATGGAATTGTCCTTGACTGGGTACGTTCTTACCTATCTGATAGGTCACAGTCCGTCAAAGTGGAATCTGTACTCTCCACTGCATCACCACTCCACTATGGCGTTCCCCAAGGATCTGTCCTTGGACCTTTACTGTTTAGTCTGTACATTCTTCCCATTGGTGACATTGTCCGAAAGCACTCACTGAAATTTCATCTTTATGCTGATGACAATCAGTTATATCTGTCAGCGGAGCCTAACCTTGCTCAAGGTTGTGCACTGATGATACAACAATGTATTGCTGAAATAAGAGACTGGATGACCTTGAACTTTCTGAAATTGAATGACACAAAGACTGAGTTCTTAACCATCGGATCCAGGCATCAACTTTCCAAAGTGCCTGACAGTTTATCTCTTGAAATTGGACAAGATGTTATCACGCAGTCCGACTCTGCAAAAAATCTTGGTGTCATCTTTCAATCAACAATGTCATTAGAAAATCAAATCAAATCACTCAGCAAAGGATGTTTCTACCATATCTTCAATATTAGCAAGATCCGAACCCTCTTAGACTTCAACACCGCCCAGCTTCTAACGACCAGCCTTGTTCTCTCTAAACTTGATTACTGCAACTCCCTCTATTACAACATTCCTCAACAGCTCCTTTCACAACTCCAACGGATTCAGAATTCAGCCGCCCGTGTTGTTGCCCGTGCACCACGCTACCAAACTGTGACACCTATCCTCCAAACTCTTCACTGGCTTCCTGTATCAAGCAGAATTCAATACAAACTTCTTCTTCTTACACACAGCTGCATCTATGAAAACATGTTTTCTCAATATCTTAAAAGCCTCATTCATCTCCATGTTCCAAGCCGATTGCTCCGCTCATCAAACTCCCTACTGCTTACACAGCCTCACGTCAAAACAGCCATGGGATCAAGAGCGTTCTCTGCTGCAGCCCCCTATCTCTGGAACATTCTACCACTCACCCTGAAAGAAATAGAATCTGCTGATGCTTTCAAAACTGCCCTCAAAACTCATCTGTTCAAACTCTCTTTTCCATAGACATTGTCTACAATCTTTTCTCTTCATAGTGCCATTGAGCAATATCTTTTTGGAAATAGGCGCTCTATAAATCAATTATTATTATTATTACATAATTAAAAAGAGATGGAGAAGAAATAGTTAACCACACTTACACCGTTATTACCAATGAATGTAAAATCTCCAATCATAGAGTCGTAGCCACATCGCCCGTTCATTATGTGAATGTTCAGTACAGCGCAGAGAGCAAGGAAACGTCTACCAAAGTTATCTTTTAAAGTTTAAAATTCAAAGTTTATTATCTTATTCGTAGAGTAACGTCTAAGATTAAATTTATCACATATAGAGTCTAGTAGTGACTAATTTTGATTTCCAACTTGTTCAAGTAAATCATCTTCAACAAAATGTGCACCTGTACCCAAATGTGCTATTCTAAGTATTTTCTAGGAGACTGTCTTGAAACATACTGATACCATTGTACAACATAATGATGGTTTGTTGTACCAGGTAGATGATTCTGGGTGTACATAAGCACATGCATATAACAGATCATGATCGCAATCAAACAGGTTTTTGTCAAACATAATAAATACAGCATTTTCAATAATTTTTCACCACAGTATAAACTTCTCAAATTCTTTCCTTATCAGAACAAATATTCCACCAGATAGTCTACCACAGTTGGAGATTCGTTCTGCATGTTTGGAAACTGAAAAGTAGTCTGAAAATACATGTAAATATAATATAAATATAAATATAAGTCATCCGCCCAAGTCTCAGTTAACCTATTGTCTCACAATTGTGCAGGTATCTAATAAAGCCAGATTCACAGAGTTTATGTTCCCAAATATATAGTGAATGTCTTGATCTGATATATGTGGGGTTTTAGGTATGTCACTGTTGTGTTCACCATGGTGCGCTGTACAATGTTTGTTGGTGTTTTCGGACTGGCCTAAACTCTATCTATGTTGTCCTGGAGGAACGACGAGGTGCAGGCCTGTACTGGTGTTATTGCTGCTGCTGCTGCTGCTGCTGCTGCTGTTGATGTTGTTGTTGATGTTGTTGTTGTTGTGGTGGTGGTGGTGCCTGTTGGTTGCTGTTGTTATCCTGGGATGAGCTGTCCTCTCTGGAGCTGTCAGTGGCGGTCTCTATAGATGAGGTCTCTCTTTGTTCATCCATCATCCCCTTACAAAAACCTTCTGTCAGGATGTTCACTTCTCTTCCTAGAGAGTTCTTGTCTCTCTGTACAGCCGTGGGGTTACTGGCGATGCCAATCCCATTCTCCCTTAGAATATCCCTCATTTTTAAACTATGCCACTTGTCCTCCCAAAGCAACATTGTCACAATAACAGGCCTATTAGAATCTGATTTCCAGGTAAATATCCTGTGTGCCCTCTATGTCCCTTGGTGTTAGTGGTGGTAACGTCTTTACATCTCTAGCAGTGTTAAGTACCTCTAGAACCTTGCTCTCAGTATCAGTCTGCTGAGCTGAAGACACTGGTATGCCATACAACACCATATTATTTCTTCTACTCCTCTAGTTGTTCTTGATCCTCTATCCTTTTCTCTAGCTCACATAGGTAGTTTTCTGTATCTATGACCCTGTCATTCAGAGCATCCATATCAAATCTAAGTATATCCTGTTTTTGTTTAGTGTTGTCAATGTCACTACTTAGAGTAGTGATGTCAGACTTGAGAGATTTTATGTCCTCTTTGACTGAGCTGTTTTCTCCACAAACTCTATCCTCTGAGTCCTGAATCCGTTTGAAAATATAACTGTGTATTTCCTCCGATTCTCTACTCACAGGCCCTGGGTTCAGTCTACATCGCCAGCTAGGTGTACACTTAATGGTAGGAGTGCAGAATACAAAATGATCGGTCGTAGTGTAAACAAGGTGGTAGAGCGAGTGACGCCACAACTATCACACAGGTGTAAACATTGATCGGTTGACAACATGAATATGATCAAAGGCAAAGTATCAAACTGTTCTCCGTATCTGATCAATCAGGTGAGAATCAGATGTATCGATATCTTTATCGAACATATGGTAAGTCGATAGGGCATGTCCGAGCTGTCAGTGTATGTGTGTACATGTAATGTACCTGGTCGACCTGCCGTGTACCCCACGGGTGCTTGAAACGTCCAATCCTCACTCTGTAGAGCGACCTATCTACCTTCGTGGATGATAATCTCTGCTAGGACCTTTACTGGGTATCTGTGGCAGTTTATGTGCGTGTTGGCAGTGAAAATATTATATTACCTGACTTTTTTCTTCATAGCCAATTTTATCCGCTTGTCGTTAGGGGCGCATAACTCTCACCCTTTCGAAGTACTTACACCATACCATGAACAATGAATGCCCTGCGCTGTTTTGGCTCATGGCGGCCATTAAGAAGGTGAAAGATAGATGCGAGTGCTGACAAGTATGCAGTAGTTATAAACGGCTTAACATTACTTGGTTAAAGCGTTAGCTCTACACGCCGAAGACCCGGGTTCGATTCCCCACATGGATACAACCTGCAAAGATCATTTCTGGTGTCCCGCGCTGTGATAAAGCTGGGGTAATGCTAAAATTGTCGAAAACACAACTCACTCACTCACTCACTCACATACTTTGGTGAAAGCTGACACCACACATCGACCTCATGTTTTCACAGGTGACAAAGAAACCTATTGTACAGACCACAGGGGCTTGTACTTGACCTGCCCCGCACTGATAAGAGCCACGCAATCTGATTGGCTGTAAATAAAATATGCCCCACAACATCGCTGGCTCTTTTCAGTGCGGGGTAGGTCAAGGCCAAGGTCGTCAATGGCGAACAGGCTCGGCACAGGCCTGTTTGCGATGAATAAATGTACGTAAACTCATTATGACAGTTAGGTGTTAGTGTCTCCGAAAGCATGGCAGTGTCATCAATTCAGCTTGTTTTGGTGCACGTCGTTTGTGTATACGGTGAAATATACAAGACAATTGGTAAGTTAGCGATACAAATTTTGAGCTGGGATTTTGGCTCGGGATCGTGAAATCACGATTTTTCGAGCTTCCGAAGACCCTAGCTCCCACATTACTGCTCGTTTTTGGGTTGTATGTCTCATTTTGTAGGTAAATCTATTGGCTTGAAATGTGTGCATACTTTCAATGGGATACAAACAGTGAACATTATTTAATTCGCCCTGAAACAAACTTTGTTGACCTCGTTACACCCCTTTCCTTTAAATACTGATAAGACCCCGTCAGTGACAGCATGTACCTTGATGCCAGTCTTTAGCGTTATAGGCCCCTGTCATTATTCTTACCGTAGCTCCAACGAACAATCCTTTCCCATTTCTCCACTGTATCAGCCAATCAGCGATCTCATGGGGATTAATGTACATGTTTCTACATTGACGATAAGCACGCCCTCGTCGTCGTCTGGATCTGCAGGCCAGTCTCGAGTTGACTTTCACAAACACCAACAGGGAGTAGGCTGTGGCTTCAATTGTCTCTGAATGCGGTCGTGTCTCGTACATGATTGGCTCGTGGGCGTCGTGATACTCATTAGACCAAAAGTAGTACCCTGTGTGTCAAATTTCAAGGAACTGTGTTTTAGAAACCAAAAACGCATCATAGATGTTTTGATTTTCTAGCATGATGTTGTTTTCTACCAAATGGGTACATCTGGGTACAACTGCTTGCCACCAACAAAGCCCCATTCATTGAGTTAGCGAGTTTGGTTTTACGGCGCTTTTAGCAATATTCCAGCGGGGTACACCTGAAATGGGCTTCACACATTGTACCCATGTGGGGAATCGAACCCGGGCTTTTGGCGTGACGAGCGAACACTAAAATCCACTAGGCTAACACACACACACACACACACCCACCCCACACCCCCACCTCGCACTGAGTTCTCTTTAAGCAAGCATTTAAAATCTGTGGTATGAAGTTTTTTATCATCCAGAGTATTATGTCTACATTCTAGAATGATAGAATCCGTGGAACAATTCCAAACCGTATCTACATGCACATTTCGAGTGCTGTAATATATGCGCAAGTTGAGTCAATTTACACAATTTTTACACTTTTCTCTAACGATTAAAACCAGCAAGCTCCCACCTTACTGTGTAGTAACGTATCAAATGTCTGTGAACATCATCATCAGTGTCCACACGCCTATTCCACAATGAAACTTCAGTGTCGATGGTCCATCGCATATATTGTAACAATATCGAGATACCCTGCATTATCGAGGATGATTCAAGATTCAAAGTGCCAACATCAATCTGTGCCTTTATTGACAATACATGTATATGGTTTGACCCTCAGAGTGCGCAAGGGAATAATATATTCAGTTGAACTCACCAGCTGAACTACGTGTTCTCTTTCGTTTCAGTTCCCGCACTGCTGTCTCCCACGTCGAATCAAAGTAGTTCAGACTCTGTCTGGCATAAGCTACTTTGGCCAAGGTAAGTGGGGTCATCCTACGTAGCCTTGACCTTGACATTCTTGACCACCATTGTTTTAAAGAGTTCCTTTTTATTGAAGTTCTTTGCTTTGAAAGGGAAAAAAAAGCATTACAAATTTGCCCAAACATGTGATTTCACACCATATTTTTGATTGCTAAATGCCTATTTGCCGATCAATACAGATTTGTGATAACAGACAACGGGGCCCTGCATGAGGATATTTTACTTACAGATAAGTGATACCAGACAACGGGGCCCTGCCCGAGTATATTTTACTTTAAGAGATACCATGAGGTAGTCAACCTTATCCAGGGTTCTTATGCCGGATAACATAGGTCACTTCCAGAGATTGGTGTAAAAGACTCTTAAACGGGCTCATACGGAATAACGAGGCCCCACACGAGGACATGGTACTTACAGACATCGGATAGGAGCAGCCGAATGACGATATTAGGACCTCTGCCAAGAGCTGCTGTTCTTCTTCATCGATGAACTGAAATACACGAATTAATGGTTTTTAAACTAATTAACGCACTGATCTTATCCTATGATAACATAATTGCTCTAATCTCATGACAACATCACTGTTCTAAGAGACCGTTCATAATTTATGGCTTGGGTGTGGGCAACAAATCCCATGACAATATCAATTCTCTTATCCCATGACAATATCACTGCGCTAATCCCATGCTAACCTACTGAAAAAAATCCCACCAATTTTAATCCCATCACTCACCCGGGGATCTTCTTCTTCAATCTCGAATCCTCTTGAGTTGGATCCGCTGACCTGATTCAGCAGCCACTCATACCCTTCTTCCAGAATGTATTCGTCAACATTTAGTAGTGTTCCGGCGGAACACAGAGACTTCAGGACGAACGTTGTAAACCTAAGTGTTCACCAGGAGATGATTAGACTATGGAACCTCTCTACGCCATTACTAGATAGGGTTGGTTGGTTGTTTAACCCGCCACTGTCTCACTCCCACACTCGCTCACTAACAAACTAGCTCACTAATTTACCCACCACCTTACTCCAGTGTTCATGAATGGTGTTTCAAAGTAACAGGACAGTTTCAGATGTCTGTCTGACCTACTGAACATTCACAGGACCCATAAAATAAAAATTAAACATACATTTCAGATTTAACATTTCTTATATAAATAGGCATTGGAATTGTTAACAAACATAAGATTTATAAACAGCAAACACGTGTCACATGTCACATATATGACAGTGGGGCTGGCAGGTTGTAGACTTCCAACGGACCATCCTCGAATCTGACAGATTTGTCAGAGGTTCTGATGCTATTCGTGAACAATGTTACTCCCTCCCTCACTTACAACCATACGATTGTAACTCTCATACATAGACTTACGGTAGTCAAATAGCTATAACGATGTAAATCACATACTCCAACAACGACTTACTATAGTATATTCTGTTTTTCAACATTGTTGTTAAACGCTTCGATCTACTCACCTAGTATGAGATGACATCGATCGACCAATCCTGAACACCCGTTAGTCGCTCTACATTACATAATAATAATAATAATAATAATAATAATACTTTATTGCCCAAGAAGGGAATTTGTCTTGCGTTATGGACGCTGGAATTACAATAAATACATATATCCATTACACGCACATTACAACACGAACAACATCAGTCACACGACCTGAGGAGCTCTCACAGATCACAGTGAGCAATCAACAGTTAGCAAGCTAGTGTTACAAGAGTTCTTGCGTAAAGACGATTGTGACATTCGTAGCGTTAAGATCGCTTCGTGGGACAAGGCCCAGCTGTAATGCCACTTGCAGCACTCACCATGCAGATGGCTCCGGTGTAAAGTCTTCATCAATTTCCTCCAGGCAAAATGCACCATTAGTGGTTCGATATTTCATCAACTCTGCCACACCTGAAAGTACATAGCCTACTTAAATGCGATTCTCACTGAAATGGATTCTTTAATCTGTCAAACTTTATCATGGTGAGGCTTTCATCCTATGAGGATTATGTCCGGATGAATATTTGCCCATTGTAATAATAAACAAGAACACAAAGTCATCAATATCCCCCGCAATGGCAAAATACTCTTCATGATTATGTCTACGACTTATGATTATGTCAAAATTTAGGTGTGTATATAGAAAAGTGGAAGGAGAGTATTGAAAGGTTTTTAAAGTTCTGCTCCAGAAAGGAGCACTACCACCAATTTCAGTCTCAGTCAAACTTGTTGCCATGGAAATGCAAAAAATATTTTATTCAGAAATCCAAACTACCAAAAGGCACAAGGACACCACCAAACCAATCTATGTGCTAAGTTTGGTGAAGAAATAGTGAACGGTTTTAGAGTTCTGCTCCGGAAAAGAGCACTACCACCAATTTCAGTCTAAGTCAATCTTGTTGCCATGGAAATGCCAAAGATATTTTATTCAGAATTCCCAAACTACCAAAAGGCACCAGTACACCACTACATCCATGTATGTGCCAAGTTTGGTGAAGAAATATTGAACGGTTTTAGAGTTTTACTCCGGAAAAGACAAATGTGCACGGACGGAGTCCATTTTAATAATCCCCCCGCAAAACGCGTTGCGGGGGATAACAAGGTCTTGTTTGTCCTGCCAATAACACACATGTTCTAATTTCACAAAAATACTATTATAATAAAATCAGCAAAAACTTTTCTTATGACTCGAATATTTTTTAATGAATACAAATCATAAAAAAGGTTCACGGCACTATGACAGAATATCCAAACGTCCATCTGTCAAGGAAAATGAACGTTGGCGAGTTATTGGAATGCTCCAATCCGGTAATCCACAACGAGAAGTTGCTCGCAGATTCAATGTCCATCGAAACACAGTATGGAACTTGTGACAACGACACCAACAGACAAATCACGTCAGAGACCGTCCTCGTAATGGTCGACCCCCGGTAACGACCCGACGTCAAGACAACTGGATTCGACAGGCACACCTCCGGATCCGTTTCCAGCCAGCAACAGTCACGGCAGCAACCATCCCTGGACGTCGACGTTTACGGCGTTTTGGGACCATCGCATGACGCCCGATTATGACGTTAAAACATCGCCAACGACATCTACAGTGGGCAAGACAGCATGTGAGATGGACTCAGCGTCAGTGGAAGCGTCAGTTGAATCATGTCCTCTTCACGGATGAGTCCCGATTTTCGCTTCACAGAGCTGATGGCTGTGTGCGAGTTTACCATCGACGTGGCGAACGTCATGCTGACAATTGTGTCATGGAAATTGATCGGTTTGGAGGCGGTAGCGTGATGGTCTGGGGCGGATTTAGACAATCAGAACAATGTTGATGTGCTTCCCTGGCCAGCTAATAAGTCACCGGACATGTCGCCTATTGAGCACGTGTGGGATGAAATGGAAAGACGCTTGCGACGCTCACCAAATCCGCCTGTAACGCTGCAGCAACTTAAGGTTGTCATTAGCAGGTCAAATGTCTGTTCTATGAAATAAAAGTGTTTGTATTAACTTCGTTTTCTTATGTGTTTCTCTAATAGTATCGCAAAGAAAACTTTGTTGGTGAGAGGATGTCTGAGAAAGAGAAAGTGAGAGAGAGAGAGAGAGAGTGAGAGAGAGAGAGAGAGAGAGAGAGAGAGAGAGAGAGAGAGAGAGAGAGAGAGGAGTGCTAATTATATTGGGATGTATTTAGTTCAAGTTTCTATTTGTACAGAGGAATATGTTACAGAAACAGTACATAGAGAGAGCAGAAATTGAATATTCCATCTTCGACGTTAGAAGTAGATCACCTGGTGGAAAAGATGGGATGTGTGATAGATCACCTGGTGGAAAGATGGGTGTGATAGATCACCTGGTGGAAAGATGGGTGTGAATAGATCACCTGGTGGAAAGATCATGGTGGAAAGATAGATCACCTGGTGGAAAGATGATAGATCACTGGTGGAAAGATGGTGGTGGAAAGATGGGTGATCACCTGGTGGAATAGATCACCTGGTGGAAGAGATGGGTGTGATAGATCACCTGGTGGAAAGAGATGGATCACCTGGTGGAAAGACCTGATCACCTGGTGGAAAGATGGGTGTAGATAGATCACCTGGTGGAAAGATGGGTGTGATAGATCACCTGGTGGAAAGATGGGTGTGATAGATCACCTGGTGGAAAGATGGGTGTGATAGATCACCTGGTGGAAAGATGGGTGTGATAGATCACCTGGTGGAAAGATGGGTGTGATAGATCACCTGGTGGAAAGATGGGTGTGATAGATCACCTGGTGGAAAGATGGGTGTGATAGATCACCTGGTGGAAAGATGGGTGTGATAGATCACCTGGTGGAAAGATGGGTGTGATAGATCACCTGGTGGAAAGATGGGTGTGATAGATCACCTGGTGGAAAGATGGGTGTGATAGATCACCTGGTGGAAAGATGGGTGTGATAGATCACCTGGTGGAAAGATGGGTGTGATAGATCACCTGGTGGAAAGATCATAGATCACCTGGTGGAAAAAGATGTGATAGATCAGATGGATGGTGGAACCTGATGGGATGATGGGTGATAGATCACCTGGGGAAAGATGGGTGTGATAGATCACCTGGTGGAAAGATGGGTGTGATAGATCACCTGGTGGAAAGATGGGTGTGATAGATCACCTGGTGGAAAGATGGTGTGTGATAGATCAGATGGTGGAAAGATGGGTGAAAGATGGGTGTAATAGATCACCTCATGGTGGAAAGATGGTAATAGTGTGGAAAGATGGGTGTAGATCACCTGGTGGAAAGATGGGTGTGATAGATCACCTGGTGGAAAGATGGGTGTGATAGATCACCTGGTGGAAAGATGGGTGATAGATATGGATCACCTGGTGGAAAGATGGGTGTGATAGATCACCTGGTGGAAAGATGGGTGTGATAGATCACCTGGTGGAAAGATGGGTGTGATAGATCACCTGGTGGAAAGATGGGTGTGATAGATCACCTGGTGGAAAGATGGGTGTGATAGATCACCTGGTGGAAAGATGGGTGGTGATAGATCATGGTGGAAAGATGGGTGATAGATCACCTGGTGGAAAGATGGGTGTGATAGATCACCTGGTGGAAAGATGGGTGTGATAGATCACCTGGTGGGAAAGATGGGATGGGTGTGATAGATCACCTGGTGGAAAGATGGGTGTGATAGATCACCTGGTGGAAAGATGGGTGTGATAGATCACCTGGTGGAAAGATGGGTGTAATAGATCACCTGGTGGAAAGATGGGTGTGATAGATCACCTGGTGGAAAGATGGGTGTGATAGATCACCTGGTGGAAAGATGGGTGTGATAGATCACCTGGTGGAAAGAGCTCACACCTGATTACACACATTCCGTGACTACACATACCATTGATTACACCCCCCATTGATTACACACATTCCCTGATTACAAACACACCTGATTACACACACACACACACACACACCTGATCACACACACACTTGATTACACACATTCTCTGATTACACACACACCTGATTACACACATTCCCAGATTACAAACACACCTGATCTCTCTCTCTCTCTCACACACACACACACCTGATTACACACATTGCCTGATTACACACATTCCCTGATCACACCCGCACCCCTGGAAATTCCTTACGTGTTAGTGTGACATCCCTCCTGGGTTTACCGTTGGGGTCAAGGTTGAAGGTTATTGTTTTCTTATTTGGTTCGCCTTCACTCTGAAAGTAATAGTTGATGGGTGAGCTACAACAACTATACGACACAGATGTTTCAAAGACTGCAGTTACAATGTATTTGTTAGGAGAACTAGGTTTGAAATGGCAGTCACGGGAACCCCTCACTTCCATTTACAATAATGTTTATTGTAAAAGCAGCAAACATAGGTATAGTACTGACCAATCTAGAGTGAGCAAGTGAGTTTGGTTTTACGCCGCTTTTAGCCATATTCCAGCAATATCACGGCGGGGGACACAAGAAATGGGCTTAACACATTGTACCCATGTGGGGAATCGAACCCGGGTCGAACCATTTAGCCCTCCGACAAGCTTGATGTTCTGTTGTACTCCTCACACCCGGAATCTAGTGTGCGCGTTGCTAGTGATATACAGTATAAGCAGAATTTGTACCATGTATTTGGACCTGTGAAGGTCTTGGTTAGAACTGTTCTTCAGCAACCCATGCATGTCGTAAAAGGAGGATAACGGGATCGCTGACTTAGTTGTCATCGTATCGCAACTGCGTAGATCGATGCTCACGCTGTGGATCACTGGATTGTACTTCCAGACTCGATTATATTCGGACCGGCACCATATATTGCTGACTGCGGCGTTAAACAACAAACAAACCAAGTGATTGGTTTGCCCAATAATCAGTTCTTGTTGTGTATAGTTTTATACGATATTGCATGATTCCAACACAAAAGTGTCATGAATTAAGATCGGACGTAACGCGTTGTGCGCGAAGTAAGTCGTGATTTAACGTGAAGCCTGTCTTCGTTACAGTTGGGTTCTATTGAGTGAGTTTGGTAGTGACATATCAGGGCATCAGATATTTGCAGTAAAGACTGTAATGCAGGCATTAGTCATTAGCCACTTTGGGCAAAAACTCAATCACGGATATGGTGCTGAAGAACCCAAAACATTTAATGAGAGTGAAATGGGGATTTCAGCCACAATCATAAGAAGTGTAAGGGAGGTAGCTCTGCGCGAGGAACTGCGGCACCCTTGTGCACTGGGTCCACTGATAAGTAATGAAAACATGCATAACGCTTGACTTACAACCACCACCAGATGTCGCTCAACTACGTCTCTGTCAACTCTGCTGGCAGTGATAGCCTCTACTCGGATGGCATATGTCCCTGGCCGCACCGGGAGTACGGAGAATGATTTGGTTCTCTTTTGTCCATTTGGCACTTGGAAAGATGGAATTGTGAGTTCATCCCCTTCAGAGTCCAGCATACAAAGCCCGTCAGCAGTTGCTGATAATGTTACCTGCAGTGCAGGGAAGATATACAAAATATGCAGATCGGATGTGGAGAAGATGTTGAAATAGGAGGATGTAAAGAAGATGCGGAGATGATGTGTAGAAGGGGTGAGGAGAGGATGTCTAGAAGATGAGGAGATAATGTGGGGAACATGTAAAAGGGATGAGGAGAGGGTGGAAAGAAGATGCGGAGATGACGTAGAAGGTATGAGGAGAGGACGTAAAGAAGATGTGGATATGATGTAGAAGGAATGAGGAGAGGATGTAAAGAAGATGTGGAGATGATGTAGAAGGGATGAGGAGAGGATGTAAAGAAGATGCGGAAATGATGTAGAAGAGATGAGGAGAGGATGTAAAGAAGATGTGGAGATGATGTAGAAGGGATGAGGAGAGGACGTAAAGAAGATGTGGAGATGATGTAGAAGGGATGAGGAGAGGACGTAAAGAAGATGCGGAGATGATGTAGAACAGGATGAGGAGAGAGGAAGTAATGGAGATGTGGAGATGATGTAGAAGGGATGAGGAGAGGACGTAAAGAAGATGTGGAGATGATGTAGAAGAGATGAGGAGAGGACGTAAAGAAAAGGAGATGATGGAAGGGATGAGGAGGAGAAGGGAAGATGAGGAGATGATGTAGAAAGAAGATGGAGGATGATGTAGAAAGGGATGAGGAGAGGATGTGGAGAGGATGCAAAAAGAGATGGGAGATGATGTAGAAGGGATGAGGAGAGGATGTAAAGAAGATGTGGAGATGATGTAGAAGGGATGAGGAGAGGGACGTAAAAGAAGATGATGGAGATGATGTAGAAGGATGATGAGGAGAGGATGTAAAAAGATGATGTGACACAAAAAGAAGAGATGATGTAGAAGGTATGAAGGGAGAAGGACGTAAAGAAGATGTGGAGATGATGTAGAAGGGATGAGGGAAGGATAAAGAAGATGTGGAGATGATGTAGGCATGTGGAAGGGATGAGATGTGGATGATGTAGAAGGAGATGAGGAGAGTAAAGATGTGGAGATGATGTAGATGATGTAGAGGATGTGGAAAGAGATGTGGAGATGATGTGTAGAAGAAGATGTGGATGGATGATGTAGAAGAAGATGATGGAGATGAGGATGTAAAGAAGATGTGGAGATGATGTAGAAGGGATGAGGAGAGGATGTAAAGAAGATGTGGAGATGATGTAGAATGAGATGAGGAGAGGATGTAGAAGAAGGATGATGTAGGATGATGAGAGGATGTAAAGAAGATGTGGAGATGATGTAGAAGGGATGTGGAGAGGATGTGAGAAGATTTGGAGATGATGTAGAAGAAGAGAGATGATGTAAGAAGAAGGTGTGAAGGAGATGATGGATGAGGAGAGGATGTAGAAGAAGATGCTGAGATGATGTAGAATGAATGAGGATGTGGAGATGATGATGTGGAGATGATGTAGAAGGGATGAGGAGAGGATGTAAAGAAGATGGAGATGAGATGATGTAGAGGGAGAGGATGAGGAGTGGAGATGATGTAGAAAGAGATGAGGAGAGGGACGTATGCTAAGATGTGGAGATGATGTAGAATGATGAGGAAGGATGTAAATGATGTGGAGATGATGTAGAGAAAGGAGAAGGGATGTGGAGATGATGTAAAGAAGATGTGGAGATGATGTAGGATAGAAGGAGAGGAGAAGAGAGGATGTGGATGAGGAGAGGATGTAAAGAGAGATGATGTGGAGATGATGATGTAGAAGAGAAGGAGATAAGGATGATGAGAGGATGAAATGAAGATGTGGAGATGATGGATATAAACTCAAGGAGCAGTATGATGTAGAAGAGATGAGGGAGGATAAGTAGAGTAGGATTTGCAACATCAGATATAATGTAATGATTGATATGTTTGTCTGGTTGCTGTTTCAGTCATTGAATTCTAGGTATCGCACTTACCATTGTATCGTAGCCGATGTAACTTGAAACCGTCACATTAACCCTGACCTCCTCAAGCTTCACGGCCTTGAAGGGAAGGTGAATATCAAGAAAGAAGTTCTGTGAAACTATGACTCGTGCGGCGTTCGAGATGCAAATCCCCTGTTCTTGAGACACGCCCACTGCTTGCATGATCCAGGTTGTGATGGAGTCGGGGTATTTCACATCGCGGACTAAATTACCATTGGCACTGAAACAGAGTGAGTGAGTGAGAGAGTGAGTGTGTTTTACGCCGCTTTCAGCAATATTTCAGCAATATCATGGCGTGGGACACCAGAAATGGGCTTCAGACATCGTACTGATGTGGGAAATCGAACCCGGGTCTTCGGCGTGACGGGCGAACATTTTTACCACGAGACTACCCCACCGCCCCCACTGAAACAAATCCCCAGCGTTAGAGTGAGGGATCGAATTGAGTTGAACGCAGCTTAAAACCGTATTCCAGTTGTACACGGTGGCAGCTGACAGTGAGAGGAAACCCCCAACTGTTGCTGGGCTCAGACCTTTACCAATTCGGTGAAACACAGAAGCACAAGTATGGTACAGACAAACCGAAACTTTACCAGGGCAAACCGGGGTTCGAACCCAGCATATGCGTTTGGTTTGGTTTGGTTTGGTTTGGTTGTTGTTTAACGCCGCACTTAGCAGTATTCCATCTAAAGGACCGCAACACTGCATAAAGAATTGAAATCGTTCGGATTAATATTTATTATTCCGTTGTATTTTGTACTAAACATAGCTCCTAAACCAAAAATCAGAATCGTTTCAAAGTCTACACAAGGGTGCCCACGGTGCTCAAGTCGATAACGCAAAAATCTCAAGACTTTAGGGTCAATGGCAAAGGGCAGATAATTCAAAATTAATTCAAACATTTTAATTTCCAAAGCAATAATCTCCGAAACTACATGTGGCTGAAAGGCACCGTTTGACAGCTATATCGTGGTGAAGTTTTAGCCATGTTTTTCAACAATTTTCTCAGTACTTTGCTCATAAATGTACTGAGCTCGAAGTACCAGCTCAGGAGCTTCCAAACTTTCCATACTTTGTGTCCTGGAACTACTCTGCACATCCGGCGCAAAACGTGCCGATATGTCCCTTCGATGGCCGCCATATTAAGTGATACTTCTGGGTCAAAGTTCTCATCAAAACGTTTCACAGATTTCTAAACGGAGTTTCCAAAGCAAACTTACCAGGGACAAACTGGAAAAGAACTTTTGAAAATATTACATGTATAGTTCCTATCTTCCTCGGCTCTCTACAGATCACAATGAAAGTTCCAAATGTGTACTTAGGTAGTTTGCTGATCATGTTTTATTCCATGGCAGATGTTAAAAGTATCACCGTTTGGTGATTAGAGACATATTTAGTCAGCATCTGTTTCCAAAGAGACAAGTGTTATTATCCAAACCAGAGTACACAACCGTTTGTATCTACGCTAGGACGATGATAATTCGATTTTAAAGTTAGTGAAGGAACCATATGGACCATTACTGGAAGTGGCATGATCCATACAAGATGTACCATTTACTATTTTTTAAAGAAATATCGCTATTTACTCTGAAACCATATCATATACTCATGCCAATAATGGTTGTCACCCCCCTCCCCACCCACACACCTCACACCCCCTCTCCAATTAAAACAATTGAAGGGGGTGACAACCATTATTGGCATGAGTATAAAATCTCAGTCACTGGATTGTCTAGTCGGAATTTTATCGATTCTATTTACTGATTTCCTGTTGTAATACGGCGGCACAAAAATATTTCCCAAACCATAAATTTGACTATTGAAAGGATAATCGTTTGATTGCAAAACTTGCAAGGAAGGAAAAGGGCAAACTGAGAAAGTTCTAAATGGCTAATTGTGTTCTTTCGGGTTAAAGCAATAAGGACCATGGAGCCTACGTTGCTGCTTGAAAATATACTTATTATATACAATTATAAACTCCACTTATTCAGATGCTACTATATGATCAAATGTCACTTTCCTTCATTTGTTCCCCAGCAAGTGGATCAATATGATTTTTCCAAATATTCTCAAGTGTACAACCCATCCTACCAAGGGGACCGAGAAGATCTCTATGTCCACTTTCCATGTTTGTGTTCATATTCGAGCTTTCACATCTGGTCATCGTATGGGTGGGGTGTTCTGGGTGCACATAGTGAATGTACACTACACCAGGAGTAGTTTGCTTGTTTGATGTTTAACGCCGCACTCAGCAATATTCCAGCTATAGTGAGTGAGTGAGTTCAGGTTTACGCCGCACGCAGCATTATGCCAGCTATATGGCGGCGGTCTGGACCAGACAATCCAGTGATCAACAGCATAGGCATCGATCTGCGCAATTGGGAACTGATGACATGTGTCAACCAAGACAGCGAGCCTGCCTACCCGACCCCGTTATTCAAGCATGGGTTGCTGAAGATTAATTCGTACTTTTCAAGGGTACACCAGGATTAGTGAACACTGTAATGGGGCCAGAGAATTTAGCCTGCCATGTCCTTGATCTGAAGAGATTTAGTACACTATCGATTCCTGTGGTATGGAGCGAGTATACCTGGGTCACTAATGTGCAAAGCTAAGAATCAGTAGGTATGACGTACTCCAGAGTATCTTCTTCAAAGAGCCAGGACTCCGGAAAGAAGGACCTCAGAATGGGATCTTCCATCAAAGCACTGTCAGCAGCATCCGTTGAGAGTCCTGATCCAACTCTTGCAACGGAAAGGCTGTGCTCTGAATAGATAGTTAACATGTTGTCATACAAGTCATGCACATTGAGGTTTACCTGTAAAACAGAAGCATTTACATGAACACCTATTTGCACAGGGTGATGAATGTTAACCTACTGCTGCGTGACGAATGATTGCTGGCTGGCTGGTTTGTTGTTTAACGCCACACTCAGCAATATTTCAGCTATATGACGGCGGTCTGTAAATAATCGAGTCTGGACCAGACAATCCAGTGATCAACACAATGCGTTATTGGGATACTATGACATGTGTCAATCAAATCAGGGGTCCTGACCACCCGTTCCCTTCAGTCGCCTCTAACGACAAGCATGGATTACTGAAGACCAATTCTAACCCGGATCTTCACGGGTCACGAATGATTTGAGTGAGGAATATTCACTGTTGGTTCATTTACATGTGGCGGATGTCTACTCTGACTCTACATACAAGTCAAGCATGACTGAGGGTTACTCTACACGTGATGAACTATAATGTGTGACTGCACTTTCACGTGAGGGGTGACCCACTATGGCTGAACTTACACGCCAGGTATAACTCAGCAAAGTGTGGCTCTGTGTCACTGAACTTACCCGTGAGTGTGGCTCTATTAAGGCTAGAGAGATTTCTCTGTGTGACTCACCTTCCACCTTGGGGATCACTCTGTGTGGCTGTTCTATGATGTGAGGCATCACTCTGTGTGACCTACTTAAACGAGACGGATCAATGTGTGACTATACTTACACGTGAGGGGTCAGTATGTGTGACTGTACTTAAACGAATTGGATCACTCTGTGTGACTGTACTTAAACGAGACGGATCACTGTGTGTGACTATACTTACACGTGAGGGGTCACTCTGTGTGGCTGTACTTACACGTGAGGGATCACTCTGTGTGACTGTTCTATAATGTGAGGGATCCCTGTGACTTTACTTACATGTGATGGGTCACTATGTGACTGTACTTACACGCGATGGATCACTCTGTGTGACCATACTTACACGTGAGGGATCACTGTGTGGCTTCTATAATGTGAGGGATCACTGTGTGTGACTATACTTACATGTGAGCAATCACTCACTGTGACTACTTACACGTGATGGGTCAATCTGTGTGACCATACTTACACGTGATGGATCACTCTGTGTGACTGTTCTATACATGTGATGGATCACTCTGTGTGACTATACTTACATGTGAGCAATCACTCACGTGACTGTACTTACACGTGATGGATCACTCAGTGTGACTATACTTACATGTGAGTAATCACTCACGTGACACTTACACGTGATGGATCACTCAGTGTGACTATACTTACATGTGAGGTGATGGCTCAGTTCAACCTCCTACAACCTGTCTCATTTCATAGATAAAGGATCACGTGTCATTTTCCGTGTGCCCTTTTACGTGACAGAATGTATACAGTTGCTGTCGTCTCCACATATAAGTGTTGTAAGAATATATATTTACCTAACAGAGGCACATACGTCCCTGTGCGTTCCCCATACATCAGCTTGAACCCTGCAGCCTGTGGACAAAAGGCCAACACAACGTAAACTAATGTTCAGTCGCGCCTCGCTAATCTTCGTAAACGTGGGACACAATGGTGCTTACTTTTCACTGCTGGTTCTTGTAATTTACTGTGCGGATAGGGAAAGAGGATTTCCAGATAAATAATGCCTGTTTTATGCCATGTACTGTAAACAATGTTTATAACGGACACGCTTGTACCATACTGCCGGATACTACTGACAGTTGTTTTGGTGCCCTCAAGTTTATCACAGTTCCAATGGGAAGAACTAACTACAGTTACAACAAACTATGTGGTCCCTTTGAGTTCGTTAAAACCGTAGTTTTATTTCGTTTCCTCTAAATCATCTTTCAGGCTAAAATTCTTGGGTCCACAAAGTGAGCCTACACTGTACAATTACGTCCTCCGTGAATAATGAATACTGGGACAAATCGGGAAACAGCCTGCACGTGAAACACTTACCTCAAAAATCTTAAAACTATTCACTGCGGATCCGGATCCAGATCCGAAGTCATGACGGTCAAGATCATCAAACATCTGCCAACGACAAAATTGTACGAGCATTGGCGGTGTAGTGATGGCAATGGCATAAGATGTAAATAGTTGTAGTGAGAGATAGGGCGAGTTGGAGATATATTTAATACAAATTGTTAGAAATATGTTAAATTGTAACAAAAAGTACATATACTGAACCACAAAAGAAATGTCGCATCGATAGCGGTTTCTTAAAGCAAAGACTTTAATTCACTCTAATAAAAACGGAAGATTGAGTTTAAACGTGACAATTATGGTAAACACATATTCAGGAATCACAGTTAGAGTTCACACAAACAAAATCACCAAAATGGTACCATTAAGATACCCCAAAGTCAGTATTGTGTGGCATCTATGGGCATCGATGAAAACGTTGCTTCGTCTTTGCATTGAATGAATTAGCCGGTTGATGAAGGCCATAGGCACTTGGGTCCATACTCTGCAAAAAGCCTGATCGAGTCCAGCAGCAGTTGTCGGCCTTGGGTGGAGGTCATTCGGTCTTCTTTGAATCTCGTCCCAAAGGTGTCCTATTGGACTCAAATTCGGACTGAGTGCAGACTATTGTAGGGTTTGGACGCCATGTTGTCTTAGGAGCGTTGTCATGATGGAAGATGTGATTTCTGTAACGTCCAAAATGTGGTACAACGTGGGGTCTTATGACTCGGTCAATTTAGCGAGCAGCTGTCACGTCAATTTCCTCATCCTGGACCGACATTCTGGAACACCATGGTGCCCACTATTTGGTTCAGACCAACTGCACCCAACACCACGATACTTGGACCACCCCACGAGTCTCTTTCAACAATACACTCATTGGAAATCAGTTCCCCATGCCTTCACCATACTCTCACTCTGCCATCGACTGTCGAAACACAATATCGGCTTTCATGAGAACAAAGCACAGTTCTCCATTGTCGATTACGCCAATTTTGATGTTGTGTTGGCCAATACAGTCGGTTTGGGCGGTGATGAGCGATGAGGACATGACCACGATATGGTCTGAGACAGCAGAGGTTTCTTCCGTGCACTGTATCGGCACTGATGGGTCTGTTGTGAGTCCCAATGGTCTGGCGTGCTGTTTCCGTCGGTCTGGGGAGCGATCCTGCAGATGGTGGCGCACAATCTGTCGGTCTTGACGTCGTGATGTTACTGAAGGTCGCCCACTGCGTGGACGGTCTTAAATGCTGTTAGTAGCCTGATACCACTCCTGCAGTCGGTAGATTGTCTTAACATGAACATTAAAATGATTGACTTCCCTCGGTGCTATCTGGCCAACTTGCAATCGTCCCAGGACTTGGTTCCTCTGATCTCTCGTAAGTCGTACCATGACGATTGTGTCAAAACAAAAATGATTTCAGGCGAGTTTGGGGCTCGCTTTCATTGGTAGGGTCGTCACGATCTGCACGTGCATTTTCATTTTCAAGAATGTCATACGGAATCTTTTACCACGTCTGCCTTTTCAGGTGCGTGTGGTCGATATGCTTTTTCATCAGAAAACACTAATGTTGGTAACTGTCAATTTGGATTGAAAAACATGTTAACAAAACGATACAATCATAATAAAAACACCGTTTTGTAAGAACGAAATCTTACATTTGGTTTTAGAAGGCGATGTTTCTTTTGTGGTTCAGTATATTTACACAACCCAAAAATCAAACATGATTTGATTGTTATCTAATGTGCAACAAACAACTACCCTGGTCCCACAACCAGCGCACAATCCGGTTATAACTGGTAGTAGGCCTAGTGCCTGGTGGTGAGGCAGAAGTAGTTGTAGTTGCTAGTAGGGGCAGTAGGTGTTGTTGTGTTGAGTGAATGAGAATGGTTTTACGCAATTAATAGCAATATTCATAACCTTGAGACGATGTGGCAGTGGTACAAATAGCAGTAGTGCTGTTGGTAGTAGTTGTGAATGGTAGTTGTGAGTAGTTTTAGTAGTAGTGAGTGAGTGGTTTGGTTGGTTTGTTGTTTAACGCCTCACCCAGCAATATTCTATCTATATGGCGGCGGTATGTAAATAATTGAATCTGGACCAGACAATCCAGTGACGAACAACATGAGAATCAATCTACCCAATTGGGATACGATGCCATGTGTCAACCAAGTCAGCGAACCTGACCACCTGATCCCGTTACTCGCCTCTTACGACAAGCATGGATTACTGAAGATCAGTTCTAACCCGGATCTTCACGGGTTCTGTAGTAGTAGTAGTAGTAGTAGTAGTAGTAGTAGTAGTAGTAGTAGTAGTAGTAGTAGTAGTAGTAGTAGTAGTAGTAGTAGTAGTAGTAGTAGTAGTAGTAGTAGTAGTAGTAGTAGTAGTAGTAGTAGTAGTAGTAGTAGTAGTAGTAGTAGTAGTAGTAGTAGCTGTATCTGAGAAGGTTTTATGACCGTAGCTTGATGGTAGTAATGGATGTATCGTAACTGGGTTGTGGTGGTTTTAGTGTGGCAGTGGTAGTTGGCTGGTGATTGTAGAAGTGGTAGTAGCTGTGGATGCAGTTGTCAAGTTTGTCGCGGAAGCAGTAGTTCAAGTTGTTGCGTTGTAGATGGTAGCAGTGGTGGCAGCAGCAGTTGTTAGTTTCATCAACATAATACTGGGTATTGTCATATTAATTTTGTTTGTTTTTATTCAACGCGCGCTCAGCTATATTGCGTCGGTCTGTAAATAATCGTGTCTGGACCAGATAATCCAGTGATCAACACAATGAGTTACTGGGATACTATGACATACCACATCAGGGGTCCTGACCACCCGTTCCCGTCAGTCGCCTCTTACGACAAGCATGGATTCCTGAAGATCAATTTTAACCCGCATCTTTACGGGTATGTTATATCAATGATCACAACTTGATTTCTGTACAGTCGGTGTTTTTCACTCTGTCATAATCAGTTACCATTTGCATCATAGCATTGGCAAAATACCATATGTACCTTTTTTCTTGTCAAGGATTTCTCAAATTTTAGCGCGTAGACGGCTTTGTCCACTGCCACCAGTCCAATGCGCATGTTCGCCCCGCCAGACAAGTTTATCTGACCAGTTTCTTTGGGTATGTAGGAATCTTTGTTCCCAACTATGCGAATCTGAAAAGAAATATCCTTTACAAATGTACGGACATAGGTTTCAACAATGCAACAAGCAAGATCTCACACCAAGAATGTGGGTCATATATTGTAACCATGTGAGAAACGAACCCGTCCTTTCTGTGCACCTGACGCTATTGCTATGATCATTTTGTAATGCAAGACAATGTGACATTATTTGGTGCCAAGGACTAATTTGCAAAAAAGAAACAATTTATTTCAGTAAATTTTATTTTGCATAAGGCCAGACAAGAAAATATATTATTTTAGAGGATGGTGGACATACTGGTGTCATGAATTGTTAAAAACATAGTGTCTCTACACAGGTAACATAACATAACAAAGAAGATGGGCAGGCTTCTGTAGTCATTGTGTCAAATATTTGCTAAAATATATACAGGCTATGCGAGTTAGCCACACAGTACATACACGCACTCTGTTAGTGACAGAGGTATCCACACAATAAATACCTTGACGACATGTTAATATGTCTTTGGTACATGCATACTTATTAACGTGACTACCATCGAAGCCCCAGCGGTACAACGTGAAATGTTACAAGAGTGTATGCATATCAATCTAAAGTTAACCTTATGTAGCAAATATATATGCAAATGTATGTCAACGCTAGTGAGAAGCTACTTTAATTTTCCGACGATACAGATTCTGCTGGGCCGAAAAAAACCACATAATATGGTAACAATTATCTGAATTTTGCGAAAACAGTACGCCTGTCCAGCTCCAAACCGAAACATTTACGTGTACTTACACCAATACATGCATTACACTGCACATAACTGTCAACATTGATAGCTATAGAAATGTAACATTTACGTGTACACTTACACCAATACATGCATTACACTGCACATAACTGTCAACATTGATAGCTATAGAAATGTAACATTTACGTGTACACTTACACCAATACATGCATTACACTGCACATAACTGTCAACATTGACAGCTATAGAAATGTAACATTTACGTGTACACTTACACCAATACATGCATTACACTGGACATAACTGTCAACATTGACAGCTATAGAAATGTAACATTTACGTGTACTTACACCAATACATGCATTACACTGGACATAACTGTCAACATTGACAGCTATAGAAATGTAACATTTACGTGTACTTACACCAATACATGCATTATACTGCACATAACTGTCAACATTGATAGCTATAGAAATGTAACATTTACGTGTACTTACACCAATACATGCATTACACTGCACATAACTGTCAACATTGATAGCTATAGAAATGTAACATTTAGCTATAGAAATGTAACATTTGTACACTTACACCAATACATGCATTACACTGCACATAACTGTCAACATTGATAGCTATAAAATGTAACATTTACGTGTACTTACACCAATACATGCATTACACTGCACACAACTGTCAACATTGATAGCTATAGAAATGTAACATTTACGTGTACTTACACCAATACATGCATTACACTGCACATAACTGTCAACATTGATAGCTATAGAAATGTAACATTTACGTGTACTTACACCAATACATGCATTACACTGCACATAACTGTCAACATTGACAGCTATAGAAATGTAACATTTACGTGTACTTACACCAATACATGCATTACACTGCACATGGCTGCCATTTACAAATAACTAAATGTCCTTTGTCTTCATTGTTATTTCTACATTCTGACCAGCTGAACCGGGCATGTGTTATTTCTACGTTCTGACCAGCTGAACCGGTCATGTGTTATTCCTATATTCTGACCAGCTGAACCGGGCATGTGTTAATCCTATATTCTGACCAGCTGAACCGGGCATGTGTTATTTTAATTCTGACCAGCTGAACCTATATATTCCTACATTCTGACCAGCTGAACCGGGCATGTGTTATTCCTACATTCTGACCAGCTGAACCGGGCATGTGTTATTCCTATATTCTGACCAGCTGAACCGGGCATGTGTTATTCCTACATTCTGACCAGCTGAACCGGGCATGTGTTATTCCTACATTCTGACCAGCTGAACCGGGCATGTGTTATTCCTACATTCTGGCCAGCTGAACTGGGCATGTGTTATTGCATTCATTTCTCAATGGCTGTAAATAGACGAAGCCACGCCCACCGAAGCGGACTACCTTCACCACTTGCTTGTCCTCGTCACATGGGTTTTCGATCGCTGAGGCAACATTCATTTTTTTCTCGCAAATCACATGAAAAACTGTTGAAACATCTTATTCATTTTTAAAAATAACTTCAACTTTTTAAAAAGGCCCTCATCTGAGTATAAACAGTGTAATTGTAAGCCACACCTCTCGTGATAGCGCTAGTATGTTCACGCTCTAAACAAGGCCGTCCAAAAAGATACCATGTTCGAAACACATTGAATATCGACAACATTTACAAATACACAGTCAATTGCAAAGTATTAGATTAAAGACATTCATCGTGGTGTTACAAGAAAGAACAGGCTCTGACACTGGGTGACATGAACGTTCATTTCAGTCAAAAAAGCTACCAATAGGCCGTTTCAAAGATCATAAATCTCCTATAAAGTGTACGATTTTGACATCATCATAAGCATGTGTCTATGAATCAGTATCAAACAGTGATGCTACTAGTTGATGGCGAGAAGGTTATCGTATCCTGCTTCACCACTGATTCGCCACAAACACATGCAAACACAAAGATAGTTCTAGTACAATACACAGGAACATATGGTACAAATCAATCCAGTCAACTGATATAGGTACAAGTAAACAAGGCACGAAAGATCGCAGGCGTGTGAGGCGTTGTCGGAAGGTTTGAAATGTATTTCTACACAAAACATTTTTCAAAGGATATCAACATATCTGGCAGGATAGACAAACAGAGCAAGGTTAACCTACCCTTAGTTCCTCTCTACAAGAAGTCTTCATAAGAAGGTGCTTGGAGTCAGCCACCACGTGATCGGATGCAACATAAAACACAATGATCCGGGCACTTGGTACCATGTCTTTCAGAAACCGTCTCGGGATTGTTCTAATGTCATGGCCGTTCGTACCGGAAGTATAACTTTCTCTGAATACCACCTGACCACGAGAAGACACCTGAAATATAAGAGAAACCTCCCTTATAAAACATATAAAAGGGAATATATACTAATTATTTAGGTTCTGTTTTCCTGTTCTTAGTTTTAGTTAAGATAAATCATCACTGGATGAGAAAATGGCATTGACATCATTTGATCACAACAGAAAGATTTAAAAAATAAGATGAAATGCGAATGAAGGGGGTAACGGGCGTCCCAGTCCACTAAGACATCTCGATGTGCAGAGCTTGGCGGGCCGGAAACAAATTATCATGGTTTGGAATGAAATATCCCTGATAATGTGTTGAGAGGCTTTCCGCATCAAATTCTTACTTATGGGTCCACCAAAGTGATACTCATGTCAGATTTGCATCATACAGTGCTTTCCCCCCACACCAAGTTAAAATGCAGTGGTAATACTAAATTACTGCTCAAACTGCCGTTGAATTAGACTCACTTACACTCACTCTCGAATCAAAGATGAAAAAGAAAATTAGAAAAGGAGCGGTTGCCAAACAACTTAAACACTGGTACTTTGAAACTTTAATCATGATAAAGTATGATGATTCATAATGTGTGAAATTCCATTCATCAAGCGAATGCTCACGGCACTACTTTCTTTATTATCACGGTCAGTATGCACTCAAGAGTCATTTTCTCTGTATACAAATGAATCATCAGGATTATGTTGCATCACTCACCATGATGAAATAGAGGCCGGGAGATCCTTGATACCTTACATGGACAGGCAAGTCGCGATTAACCTGAAACGAAATAAAAAGTAATCATATTTATTCAGACATTTATTTGTGGAAATATGATCATGTACAATGTGAAGGCGCATCGTCAATACACCAAGGGTTTCACGCATGCCGTTCGAGAGTGTGATTCAGTGTGGTTTAGCGCCGCTTCTAGCAATGTTCCCGCAACAACTGGCTTAACACGTGTCAGGTAGAAGGACACACCTCTTTCTTTTCAAACAGACGATTTATACTATTTGAACTTTAAAAAATGAAAGAGAAATGGGTGACGGGGTCATGATAATATGTTCATAAAATGTTAGAGGGTCAGCAAAATAGGGTACAGTCCCAAAATCCATTTTACTTTCCACTCCCATACCTTTGAAGACATGTATCATTGTTCATGTCATCAAGCAACTGACACGTTCATATAAACTGTCGACGCTAAGGAATGGCCAGTCTCGAGGAGACAGATATAACAGTAAGATGCAAAACAGGAGGAGATATGATTGGATATCTGTAAATCAGCAACACAAGCAGCTGCATGTTCATGAGTGAGTGAATGAGTATCGTTTTACGCCGCTTTTAGCAATATTCCAGCAATATCACGGCGGGGGGTACAACACTAAGTGGGCTTCACACTCTGGATCCATGTGGGGAATCGAACCGGATCTTCGGCGTGACGAGCAGACGCTTTACCCACTAGGATACCCCACCGCACCATGAAACAACCATGCTAATCAGACACAAACTGATAAACATACCGGCGGTTTTTCTGCTACTTCAATGACAATATGTTGGCTGTTTGATGACCTCACGGGTTTGACCCTCAGTGTTCGTTCATCCAAGGGGTGACCTTCCGGTTGGTACTGAAATCAAATGACTGTTATATTGGGAAACAATGTCATGACCTCTTCATATTATAACACACAATATGTGATTGTTTGTTTGTTGTTTACGCAGCACCCAGCAACGTTTCAGACATATGGCGGCGGTCTGTCAATAATCGGGTCTGGACCAGACGATTCAGTGATCAACAGCAGGAGCATCGATCTGCGCAATATGTCATCCATGTCAGTGAGCCTGACCACCAGATTCCGTTAGTCGCTTCTTATGACAAGCATGGGTTACTGAATTCTAACCCTTCTCGGATTCAATCTATGCTTGATTCACATGCACATATGTATCAACAGATGATCACTTTAAATGTACGTGATCAAATGCTAAACAAAACACAGCAAACGACCATGTGGTAAGCAAACACCGGATTTGGCCACATGATAATCAAGGAATATGGTCATATGGTGAGCGAACATTGCATATGGTCTTGTGATAAAGCATATGGTAACATCATAAACAAATCATACAGTCATAATATTATGATAAATATATCATATTGTCATACGATAAGTTAAGCATTTGGTCATATGAAGTAAACAGTATGGTAAACTAAGCATGTGGTCATGTTGTGGGGTCACGACGTATGACGGTGTAAAGCCAAAACATAAGGTATCACAAATGGGTATGACCCACAGTCTTTGAATTACGAACAAGCACACCCCCGTACCATCTTCGCGTGGGCACACATTGTGCCCATGTGGTGAATCGAACCCGGGTCTTCAGCGGGACGAGCGGACGCTTTCACAATCAGGCTACCCCACCGCTCCGCCTTGTGAAGAGCTAGTGCACAAAACACAGTGCCATCCTCCAGTGTATATTGCAAATAAGTTAACGTATAAACATACCCGAAAGACCATGTCGCCGCTCTCGGGGGCGATGTAGGTGCGACTCGCTCTGCCTCTGTTATCTGACGTCAACGTTGTCGTCTCTTCCCCTGGCGTCTTAACGACGACTACCGGCACGTTTTTGGCAATGCTACCATCGATGTTTGTAACTTCCACCTGTCGTAAAAACAGCTGACTCATCAAAACCATTCATCAAATTGACCAACACTGAAGTTGACACAGATCTTATTAAAATTATATTTCTTATTAAACTGTGTGGATCTAATACCTCGGAGTATGCACAGTTTGAAAGAGAGTATCGCACCTTTGAATTGTACTCTAGTTATATCTTGGAGTGTCAGCTCTATGTGAGAGGAAAAACAATCCTTTCCAAAATTACATTCATTTCACATTAACAAGGCTGAAGCATGCTGAAAAATTCTTTTGAATTATATCATCTCGCTTACCTTGAATTGCAGGGAAAGCAGCTGTCACTACGCATTGTACGTGTCGTATTCAGGTATGTTACAAGGTATACACACTTGTCCATAATTCCCATTGTTTATTATTTTGTACTATTTACCATAGACTGTTTAAAGGCAACATCGTCTGAGAAACTTGACATTTCAACGTTTTAATATTGCCACGAGCCACGAGTGAGTGAGTGAGTTAGACCTAAGGCTCCACAACAGTGTTTCAGTTACAACATGGCGTGTCAGCTTAACGTGGGAGGAAAGTGGGACGCCTCCCAGATCCAAGTCTGGGGCTGCTGGCATACCAAGAAACATAGACAAGGGGAAACGGGATTCAAACCCGTGATCATAGCTCTTATGGGCCTGTTGTAGGCAAACAATGAATGGCACGAGCACAGACGACTGGACGTCATGAAAAGTAATTACAGTGTCCAATAGTTTGGTCGGTCAGTGAACAAATAGGTTTTCTCATAGCTTATGGAAGTGCAGTCATGAAGTGATCGATAACCTTTCTCGGAGCTGATATTTACCTCAAACGTGTATGGAAGGCCGGGTTGGTAGTATTTCCTTTCGTTAACGACAGTAAGCTTGTAAGGGTACGGTGCCATGGTGGCTACTAAATACTCCTCCCGCACGACGTTGTTGGTACCTTCTTCCGTCACGTTGATCTTTACGTAGATGGTGAATAGTTCATTTGTTAGACTACTCAATGTATCTTTCATGTCATTGTCATCAATGCTGACGTCGGCCTGTCCAGATGCATTCAGCTGCCAACAACACAGGAATGTTGATCAGTTGGTGATGTCATTTTGTTTTATTCATTGAAAAGACAAACAATGTATAGATATCCAAAAATAACATTAAAAAAACATCAGACTAAGTCTAATGCTGGGGTTGCAAAGATGGAGGGTCGATTAACTGCCGATAACACGACTTCTACATCCAAATACAAGTGAGTGAATATGATCTTAGGCCGCCTTTAGTACTATTCCAGCAATATATCAGCGGTAACCAGGGCATGGGTTTGAACAACTGCGTTCGAATGGGGAATCGAATCCAGGTCTTCGGCGTGACAAGCGAATGATTTTAGCACCAAGCTAGCAAACGCCCCAAACACGACACGCTGTTTCGGGTGAATTGAAATGGGACTCAAAGTCACGTGTACTGTTTTACTCATATAGCGTCGTGCACCCACGTGTGTAAGTGGCTGCATGGACGTGTACGACCTAATGCCGGGTCCATAGTGCCAGCAGGGTGAGATACCATGCGACAGTAATACATGAATACCCAGTCCTTGTATAAAATCGTATGCCCTTCATGCTGAGCATTACGTGGGGTAATCATCACATCACACGTTATCACAGGTTTGGATACCATCAGCGGGTAGTCACGCTCCTTCACTTGGCTGACACATATCATCGTATCCCAACTGCGCAGATAGATGCTCATACTGTTGATCACTGGATTGTTTGGTCCAGACTCGACTATTTACAGACTGCCGTCATATAGAGGGACTATTGCTGAGTGAGGCGTTAAACAACAAACACACCAAACCCCAAATACACCATCATGATACCGAATACGTCAACACATTGTCTCACCTGATGCTGAAGATTATTTTTAATAACAAGCTCCAAATTAAGCAGTCGGGCCACAAGTGACATTGACACTCGTCCACGAGCGGGTTTGCCATACATGTATCTGAAAACGTTGTGCAAAAAGTAGGATATAATAATTTCTAATATTTTGTTATTGGGAAAGAAATACCTATCGGAAGCGTGAATCCTCACAACTTCATAGAAACAACCCGTGGTCTCGCCTTAGGCAAGTGGGTTTGTTCAAAATTGCCTTTGTTCACCCAGCAATGAATGGGAACCCGTTGGGATAAGTCATATGACTGTTAACCTTATAGCGCTTCCCAGGCAGCTTGGATTAACTGGGGTAAAAGTGTCTTAGCGAATTGAGCATGTACAAGTGCGTGGATACAAGCGCTTTATAAATGCCCATTATTATTTATAGTTACTATATATAATTACTATAAAATATTATCACTAACTACAATATTCGGCAAAGTAGTCAAAACAAGCATTGTCATTAAGGTGACATAATCCCCCGCCGTAAATTATCAAATCAAACTTATAAAGTAATGAAAGTTTAAGATGAAGTTAAATGTCAACAAAAACATTATCTTGCTCTTTAGTGTGTACATTATCTTGCTCTTTAGTTGTTCAAACACACACATATTTTCAAGACTGAATTTGACCTTGACATGAATGTCATAGTGTATGAAATATGCAAAACTAGTACTAAAGAAATTGCTTATTGAAAAACATTCAAGGGAGGTTTCAAAGAAAATCCACTGAATATTTTTTGCGATATCTTGCTGACTATCTTAACAAGCAATTTAACATGCTGAAATCTTCAAAGTGTCTCTGTGACCTTGAAAATTAAGTGAAGGTCACCACAATCAACTGGGCCCTGCGCCTTCCCTGGATGAAACTTGGTATCAAATATGAAGAAACTCCAGTGAATGGTTCTTGAGGTATCTCGCTGACAAGCATAACATGTAGATTAATATGCTGAAATCTTTCAAGTGTCTCTGTGACCTTGAAAATTAAGTGAAGGTCACCAACATTGACTGGGTCCTGCGCCTTCCCTAGATAAAGCATGGCATTGAATATGAAGAAAATCCAGTGGACGGTTCTTGAGATAGCTTAACATGCACGTAAAACGTGACAGTCCCCTTGTGACCTTGAAATGAAGGTCAAGGTCACCAAACCTGACTTGGCCCTTTCTTATAGTGTGATGAACCTAGGTACCAAATATGAAAAGAATCTAGACAACGGTTTATTAAGATATTCCAATTCGTACGTACGCACGGACGGACGGACGGAGCCTAATACTATACCCCCCGCTTCGCGCTAAACGCGCGGCGGGGGATAATAATTAAATGTTTTGTGTTCATTTAGGAATGGGATAATCAAACACAGCGTAGACGTTGGGAATGGATCTGAGCGCAAAAGCACTTGAATACTGATGCTTGAAAACATGAAAAGTGGTCGTTCGAGAGGTGTTGGTAGAGTAAGTATTTGCGCAAGGAATAACGTTGGCTTTCAACGTCGACAACGTCATTCTTTTCACTGCGTTTTGTGATCTGCTCACAGCACCTGCCCTGCTAGATGACCCTCTCGCTAATTTTCCTAGAAAGAGCTGCAGGGCGTGTAAGGTGGCTGTTGTAAACGTCGTTTTAGCGGTTTAATTCAATAGAAGCTTCTATTCTACAGCAAACATGGCCGAGTTTGATCTCATAGAATACTAGTTCTATGGTATATGTGTAGCTTTGTGAAATAGCCTTGGAGTGCGGCGTTAAACAACAAACAAACAAACAAACAAACAAACATAACACAATACTTCGGAGGGTATATTTCGATTCAATCACTGCGTTACCTCATAAAGTGAAGAAATCAAATTGAACTAGATAATAAAAGATAAGTTTATCTGACTTACTCTGCTTTTATAGACAACAGGAGAGGCGTGGTGTTGTCCCAAACCATGCTTGTCTGGTTCGACTTCACTCGAACTCCGAACCGAGGCAAAACTGAAAAATCAAGTCACAGGTTTCAAATATTAGGGATTATCCCATTTGAATACGGCTGAATCATGTCAAATATATTGTTTTATGCAACACTTAATTTTCGCTAACTCGGTGTCTTTAATGGAATGTGGCAATTATGAAATACTGAGTTACATCAATCATATAGTTTCTTCTTAAAATATTTATTACTAGTTTCTTGTCAGAACACATCCACCAAATGAGCGTAATGCGCCTTCTTTCATTTACAGTCACGCTATAAACAAATACAGTCCTGCAGTGCAATGGCATGGATATATGATGTGTGATTGTTATGAGTGACTGAAATATTTTGTACGCCGTATAATCAAGGCTTATTGTTATTTTTGTTTGTTTGATTCCAGCTATATGGTGGTGGTCTGGACAAGACAATTCAGTGAGCAACAGCATGAACATCGAACTATGCATATGGGATATGATGACATGTGTCAACCAAGTCAGCGAGCCTGACCATCCGTTCACGTAAGTTGCCTGTTACGATAAGCATGGGTTGTACTGACTTCTAGCAAACCATTCCATGTTTTTTCCCCAACCCCTGAGTTTGAGGGTTTCAACTAATCCTTTGGTATGATTCGTCCAGGAATCGAACCACTGACCCACCAAGACAAGAGTACTTTCACATCATCCACTCTTGGAAAAGCGATATACAATTATGTTATCATTCAAACAATTTTGCATGCTGTCTCCCCAGCAGTTGGGCAGGTGGCCCAGTCGTCTAAGGCTTGGCAATTCGCTGGCCTCAGATGCGTTCTTTGGTGTACCAAAAGTCTATGAGTCCAACCACATTGTAAAAATTATATAAGATTGCTTGGGCTTAAAGACGTTAATGCAGAAAATGAAGGGCATTACCATGTGTATGTGTATTCACGCAAGCAGTCATGGATTGACAATGTGAAGCAAACAATGCGTACTATACCAAGCACATACCATAATCTTTCACTTCAAACGTAGCTTCAGATACAGTAGAAAACTGAAAATTACCAGAATATGCAATATTATTCAATGTTCTGATTTATTTTGTATTTCTCAGCAATATTACAGCAATATGATAGCGGTCTGTGAAAGATTTGAGTCTAGACCAATAAATCCAGTGATTAATAATATACGCAACTGTCACCGGTAACGGCGCCCTGACAGGGATCAACCAAGTCAGCGTGTCTGTCCTTCCAATCCCCAGAAAACGCCCTTTACAATCGGCATAGGCTGCTGGGGACAATCATAACTCGGTATTCCCACGGGGGCCCTCTGGCGAGACTTGCTCATTCAGAACGAGACTGACAAGATCGGGTGGTCAGACAAGCATTCATGGTTGATTGCCCGTCAACGTGAATCGCCCAGCGTAGTTGCGTGATTTATCAATCCCGGGATTGTCTTGTCTTCAAATATTTATCATCGCCTCTACAATCCTACGTGCGGCGTAAAACAACAAACCTAACTAATCTGGTTATCAAAGTTTTTATTCACTAAATGGTTGATATATGATGTGTGATTGTTATGAGTGACTGAAATATGTTGTACGCCGTATAATCAAGGCTTATTGTTATTTTTGTTTGTTTGATTCCAGAACTATATGGTGGTGGTCTGGACAAGACAATTCAGTGAGCAACAGCATGAACATCGAACTATGCATATGGGATATGATGACATGTGTCAACCAAGTCAGCGAGCCTGACCATCCGTTCACGTAAGTTGCCTGTTACGATAAGCACGGGTTGTACTGACTTCTAGCAAATCATTCCATGTTTTTTCCCCCAACCCCTGAGTTTGAGGGTTTCAACTAATCCTTTGGTATGATTCGTCCAGGAATCGAACCACTGACCCACCAAGACAAGAGTACTTTCACATCATCCACTCTTGGAAAAGCGATATACAATTATGTTATCATTCAAACAATTTTGCATGCTGTCTCCCCAGCAGTGGGGCAGGTGGCCCAGTCGTCTAAGGCTTGGCAATTCGCTGGCCTCAAGTCCAACCACATTGTAAAAATCATATAAGATTGCTTGGGCTTAAAGACGTTAATGCAGATAATGAAGGGCATTACCATGTGTATGTGTATTCACGCAAGCAGTCATGGATTGACAATGTGAAGCAAACAATGCGTACTATACCAAGCACATACCATAATCTTTCACTTCAAACGTAGCTTCAGATACAGTAGAAAACTGAAAATTACCAGAATATGCAATATTATTCAATGTTCTGATTTATTTTGTATTTCTCAGCAATATTACAGCAATATGACAGCGGTCTGTGAAAGATTTGAGTCTAGACCAATAAATCCAGTGATTAATAATATACGCAACTGTCATCGGTAACGGCGCCCTGACACCGGCGTAAAATCAAACTCACTCACACCCACTATCAAAATTAAATATATTCAGAGACAAAGCGTTAGTCTACGTTGAAACCGTCCCATTCACATACTCACTTGTGTACATGTCGATCATGTTTTTATCAAGAGCATATAAAACAGATACAATAACAATACCATTATGTTTTTTTGTTAAAATATCATCACATCATGTCAGCTGTATTGTGAAGAAGCAAATAAAGTTTTAAACGATTTCTAATCTACTTGTTTTAAACGACCATTGTGAACACAGGAAGTCTAATCTAATATAATAAACCACATGTGAATAATTAACAGGGGGGCCAACAAACCAATAAGAATAATTAGGGGGGATCTTAGATTCGACCCCACTATCATATACCTAAGGGTCATAACTCTGCATTACAAACAGCTGCATGTATGTCAGTTAATAAAGTTTTCTTCGCGCAGTGAAATCAACTTATATTGGTTGATAAACAAAAGAGAAACCAGGAAGAGAAATACTTACATTTGTGTAAGAAGCCCTTATTTTCCACATTCCTTCATTGGGTTTTTGGACAAGGGGAATTCCGAACCAGTGAAAGCTTCAAAGGGATTGGTCATCACTCTGTCTATCAGGTGACCTCGGGGATTCTGTTGATGGCAAAGTTATGAAAGTACTGCTGCACCAATTCACGACACAAAACCACCACACAACACCCGGTTATACAACCACCACACAACACCACAACACCCCCCATACAACCCCCACAACACACCACAACACACCATCCCGCCATACAACCACATCGCAACACCACAACACCCGGTCATACAACCACCACGCAACACCACACCATCCCACCATACATTCACCACAGAACACCATACCACCATACAACCACCAAACACCACCCTGCCAAACAACCAACACAACACATCACAGCACACCACCCTGCTATACAACCACCAATCAACACCCCGCCATACAACCTACACAACACAGCACAGCACACCATGCCACTATACAACCACCAAACAACACCCCGCCGTACAACCAACACAACACACCACAGCACACCATCCCGCCATACAACCACCACAGAATACCACAACACCCCGTCATACAACAACCACAGAACACCATCCCGCCATACAACCACCAAACAACACCCCGCCATACAACCAACACAACACAACACAGCACACCATCCTGCCATACAACCACCAAACAACACCCCGCCATACAACCAACACAACACACCACAGCACACCATCCTGCCATACAACCACCAAACAACCACACCCCAGCCATACAACCAACACAACACACCACAGCACAACACACCATCCTGGGCCATACAACCACCAAACAACACCCCGCCATACAACCAACACAACACACACACAGCACACCATCCTGCCATACAACCACCAAACAACACCCCGCCATACAACCAACACAACACACAACACAGCAACACCACACATACAACCACCAAACAACACCCCGCCATACAAACAACACACACACAACACAACACACCATCCTGCCATACAATACAAACACACACCCTGCCATACAACACAACACAACACAGCACACCATCCTGCCATACAACCATAAAACAACACCCCGCCATACAACCAACACAACACAACACAGCACACCATCCTGCCATATAATACAACACACCATCCCTGCCATACAACCATACAAACAACACACCATCCTGCCATACAATAAAACAACATCCTGCCATACAACTAACAACAACACACCATCCTGCCATACAACTACACAACAATACAACATCCTCAAATATATAACAACAAATACACCATCCCATATACAAATCCACAATAACACATCATCCTGCCATATAACCACAACAACACACCATCCTGCCATATACAACAACACACTATCATGTTATACAACATCAACAACACACCATCCTGCCATACAACCACAACAACACACCATCCTGCCATACAACAACACACTATCCTGCCATATACAACCACAACAACACACCATCCTGCCATATACATAACACACAATAACACACCATCCTGCCATACAACCAACAAACAACACCCTGCTATACAACAACATATCATCCACATACAACATAACAACAAACCATCCTGCTATATAAAAATAAAACAACACCATCCCTGCCATACAACCACAACAACACAACATACACCATCCTGCCATATACAACCTACAAACAACACACCTGCTATACCATACAACATAACAACAACACACCATCCTGCCATACAACAACATACAACATCCCACCATACAACCAACACAACACAACACACCATCCTGCTATACAACAAATACACCATCCTGCCATACAACCACAACACATAATACACCATCCTGCCATATAAATACAATAACACACCATCCTGCCATATAACACAACAACACACCATCCTGCCATACAACAGCACACCATCCTGCCATACCACACAACACACCATCCTGCCATACAACCACAACAACACACCATCCTGCTATACAACAATAACACACTATCCTGCATATACAAATAACAACAACACACCTATCCTGCCATACAACAACACACCATCCTGCCATACAACCAACCACAATAACACACCATCCTGCTATACAACAACAACATCATCCTGCCATACAATACACAAATACACATCATCCTGCTATATACAACCATTAAACAACATATCCTGCCATATAACTTAACACAATACCTTAAAATAACATCCTGCTATACAACAACCACACTATCCTGCCATACAAAATCCACAATACACACCTGCCATATATCTCTAAGTATACAACAACATACACACATCTCTGCTATATAACTACAATAAACACACCACTCTGCCATATACAAATAACTGCCTATCTCTAACATAACATAAATATACTATCTCTGCTATATACTAACTACATAACAATCCTCTGCTATACAACTAACAACACAACATACCATCTCTGCTATATAAATACTAAACAATACTCTGCTATACAACCAACATGCAAATACACACATCCTAATATAAATAACACTAAATTATCTCAAGCTATATAAATAAATAACATAAATACCATCTCTCTGCTATATAACCACAATAACACACTATCCTGCAACATATACAAATAACACACTATCCTGCCATATATAATAAACAACATACCATCTCTGCTATACAATCCAACACACTATCTTGCTATATAATACAATAATACACCATCTCTAAGCATACAACAATACACACTCTCCAACATATACAAATTCACATATATATCCTAATATACAACCACAATAACAATACACTATCCTGCTATATAAATAACTACATCTCTATACATACAATAACACACTATCCTGCTATATAACTACTAAACACTATCCTGCTATACTCAACATAACACAGCATAACACACTATCTCTGCTATACAACTACTATAAATAACACACTATCTCTGCTATAAACAAATAATACACTATCCATATACAACTACATAAATAACTATCCTGCTATATAAATTACAATATAAATACACTATTCTCAAGTATACAACCACAATAACACACTATAAGCATATCCTGCTATACCATCCTGCTATATAAATACTCACAATAACACACTATATAAAGCATATATACTACAAATAACATACTATCTCTGCTATATAAATACTATAATAAATATTACCATCTCTGCTATACAACAACACATAACATAACTATCTTGCTATACTCTAACATATACTAACTAACATATAACAACACACTATCTCTGCTATATAAACACTAAATAACATACCATCTCTGCTATATATAACATACATAACTATACATAATAACACAATTATCCTGCTATACATAAATAACACACTATCTCCTGCTATATAATAACATAATTATCCTAATCTATACAACTACAACAACATACCATCTCTGCTATATAACAATACACTATTCTGCTATACAATACAATAACATAACACATATAACAACACACTATCCTGCTATACAACTACACAACACACTATCCTATACAACCATACAATAATATACATCCTGCTATATACAATAACACACTATCCTGCAATACATATCTCACAATAACATAACTATCCTGCTATATATAACAACACACTATCCTGCTATACAATAATAAATACCATCCTACATATATACATCCTAACATATAACTCACCTATACAACTACCACATACATACCACTATATAACTAACATAACCATACATACACACTATCCTAAGCTATATAACTACTATAACAACAATAATCCTGCTATACAACTAACACAACACACATAGCACACTATCTCCTATATAACCACCAAACAACACCCTGCTATACAACTAACATAACATAACATAGCACACTATCCTGCTATATAAAACTACCAAACAACACCTATCCTGCTATACAACTACATACTCACAGTAAATATAACATAGCACAAACACACTATCCTGCTATACAATACAACACACTATCCTGCTATAACTATACAACAAACTATCTAATACAACAACACAATATACACTATCTCCTGCTATATAACTACAATAAAACACTATCCTGCTATACAACCAACCAATAAATAACATAACATAGCATATACTATCCTGCCATATAAACTACTAAACAAACACTATCCTGCTATATAACTATACAATAACAATTACGCTATACATAATACACTATCCTGCTATATAACTATACTAGCTATATATAACCTAACATATAACAATACACTATCCTGCTATACAACATACAATACACCTATATAATAATATAACATAACATACACACTATCTCTGCTATATACAACACTAAATCATCTCTGCTATACAACTAACATAACATAGCACACTATCCTAAGTATATAGCACTAAATACACTATCTCTGCTATATAACTATAACATAACATACTCTGTCATATAAACTACAACATATAAATACATCTAGCATATAACAATACACTATCTCTGCTATATAATACACAATAACACACTATCTCTGCTATATAAAACAACACATAATCCTGCATATAATAACACACTATCCTGCTATATAACTACAAAACAATACACTATCCTGCTATACAACTATACAATAACACACTAGCACACTATCCAATAATACTATCCACTATACAACACCCTAACATATACTGCTAATATAAATACACAATAACACACTATCCTGCTATACAATAATACACTATCTCCTGCATATACAACACAATACCATCTCTAAGTATATAACAACACACCATCCTGCCATATACAACTATACCACTGCTATAACACAATACACTATCCTGCTATATAAACAATAAACAACATCCTGCTTACAACTAACAATAACATAACACACAACACACCATCCTGCCATACAATAAATACACTATCCTGCCATACATACAAATACAATAATACACCATCCTGCTATACAACTACAACATAACCATCCTGCTATACAACAACATAACATATCACACATATCCAACACCATATACAACACACACTATCCTGCCATATACATATACAATAACACACACTATCCTGCCATACATACAATATAACTACAATAATAACACACTATCCTAACACACCATATAACAACACAACATACACTATCCTGCCATATAACAACAACACTCTGCTATACAATAACATAACTCATGCTATACATAACACATCCTGCCATCCTGCTATATAATAAACACACCTATCCTGCATACAATACAACAATACTATCCTGCTATATATAACAATACACTATCCTGCTATACAAACAATAACACACCTATCCTGCTATATACAACAACAATAATACACCATCAAGCATACAACAACAACACTATCTGCTATACAACAACATACACTATCCTGCCATACAACAACACACCATCTCTGCTATACAACCACAACAACACACCATCCTGCCATATAACAATACACCATCCTGCCATATACAACAACACACCATCCATACAACCACAATAACACACCATCCTGCACAATACAACAACACACCATCCTGCCATATACAACAACACACCATCCTGCCATACAACAACAACACACCATCCTGCCTGCCACACCACAACACAACAACACCATCCTGCCATATACAACAACACACCATCCTGCCATACAACAACAAACACACCATCCTGCCATACAACAACAACACACATCCATCATACAACCACAACAACACACATCTCGCCATACAACAACAACACACCATCCTCGCCATACAACAACACACCATCCTGCCATACAACAAATACACCATCCTGCCATACAAACCACAATAAACACACCATCCTGCCATACAACCACAACAACACACCATCCTGCTATACAACAATACACACCATCCTGCCATACAACAACAACACACCATCCTGCCATACAACAACAATACACCATCCTGCCATACAAACAACAACACACCATCCCGCCATACAACAACACACCATCCCGCCATACAACCACAACAACACACCATCCTGCCATACATACAACAACACACCATCCTGCCATACAACAACACACCATCCCGCCATACAACCACAACAACACACCATCCCGCCATACAACCACAACAACACACCATCCTGCCATACAACAACACACCATCCCGCCATACAACCACAACAACACACCATCCTGCCATACAACAACACACCATCCTGCCATACAACAACACACCATCCTGCCATACAACAACACACCATCCTGCCATACAACAACACACCATCCCACCATACCATACAACACAACAACACACCACCATCCATGCCACCACAACAACACACCATCCTGCCATACAACAACACACCATCCTGCCATACAACAACACAACACATACAACAACCATCCTGCCATACAACCACAACAACACACCATCCTGCCATACAACAACACACCATCCTGCCATACACCACAACACACCATCCTGCCATACAACAACACACCATCCTGCCATACACAACAACACACCATCCGCCATACAACCACAACAACCACCATCCTGCCACAACAACACACCATCCTGCCATACAACAACACACCATCCTGCCATACAACACACCATCCTGCCATACAACAACAACACACCATCCTGCCATACAACAACACACCACACCATCCCGCCATACAACAACAACAACACACCATCCTGCCATACAACATCCCGCCATACACCATCCTGCCATACAACAACACACCATCCTGCATACATACACCATCCTGCCATACAACAACACACCATCCCGCCATACAACAACACACCATCCTGCCATACAACAACACACCATCCTGCCATACAACAACACACCATCCTGCCATACAACAACACACCATCCTGCCATACAACAACACACCATCCTGCCATACAACAACACACCATCCTGCCATACAACAAACCAACAACAACAAGCACACCATCCTGCCATACAACAACAACACACCATCCCGCCATACAACAACACACCATCCTGCCATACAACAACACACCATCCTGCCATACAACAACACACCATCCCGCCATACAACCACAACAACACACCATCCTGCCATACAACAACACACCATCCCGCCACACAACAACACACCATCCTGCCATACAACAACACACCATCCTGCCATACAACGACACACCATCCCGCCATACAACCATCACACCACAACACACCACCCCGCCACGTCACCGCAACAGACCACCAAGTCACGCAACCACCACCAAGCCAAGTTACCATTAAACAATCCCACACAGCCTCCACTCATCAACAGGCTGATTGAACGTACGTTGTGACCACCAGAAGCTACTTACCTGAAGACTGACTTGAACCTGCCAAGGCGCCCATCTCAGGTCCTCGTCCACTGCCATCACTCGGTACTTTACTGCAATCATATATAATGTGTTTAGACTTGCTGATTTTATCGAGTTGGGGAACACCAGAAATGGGCTTCACACATTCTAGTCACGTGGGGAATCGAACCCGGTCTTCGGCATGACGAGCGAAGGCTTTAATCATGAGGCTACCCAACCGCCCCGCAATTTATTGAGGATTCGATGCCGGAAATAGAATTTGGAAACGATGATGTGAGAAGGTTGAGTCTTATTGAGAACCTAAACTGTGAAAATACCTGTGCATAAATAATGTAAGTTAAATAGGCACATCCTCGCGACAAAACACTTAAACGACGAGGCGTACGCGTCATGATACAGTGGACGATGGTGTACGCTTCCGAGGTAACCAAACCCGCCCGCAATAAAGGAATATTTACAGTCGCCGTCATATACCTTGAATATCGCTTAGCCCAGCGTTAAACAACATTCAAATCAAAAACAAACAAACAAACAAAAATACCCCACAAATGTCACCTTTTTGTCTGGAGGTGTAGATGGGTTTATCCACCTGAACGAACAAATAGCCAGGACTTCTGTCAATCTCGATTTCAACTTCTCTGTCAAATCCTCCTCGTCGCGTGGACCTGACAATGAGAGTTACCTCATTTGACGTCGCGGGGACGATGTGGCTAGTATCGACCATGATGTGGATTGGCGTTAAGACGCCTACAAAGAAATGCAAAGATACCATTTGCGGTGTAAAGTAACAAGCTGAACTGCAGTGGCACCAGTCATAAAATAATCGCCTTGCTAAATGAAGATAGAAAACGCAGTGCTTTAATATCCAAGCATTTCGCCAGCTTGATCCGCCAAGCAGCGATCCGCCAAGCAGACAATGTACATCTGCAACGTTACCAAGCATCATCAAATAAGCTTTACAGGCACGCCTATAAAAACTTGTGTGAGTTTCTTACCATTCTGAATTCTGTGTGTGCGGCTGTAGAACGTATGTGTAGCGCTTCCGGGATTCAGTTTCACCCTATATTCCAGTTCGTTATCATTCAGACCGAGTCCAAGAATAAATATGGTCTGATTCGTTCCAAGGCGAATCTTTCCAGGGGCAATAACTCCAACAAACGCCCTGAAAACAGTATAATACATGTTTCTGTGTTCATAATGTTTATCAATATTAATTTGGCTTCTCATTGGGCATTCCCGGATGCACTTGTTGTAATTACGAGAAAGAAAATACTGGCAAGGCCGTTTTCAAAATAAGTAAATGAGTTAAAGACTTATTATTTTTAAATGACGTACTATTGTTCTTTTTAAAGAAAGTGCAAAATAATCATTATGAAAATATAACAACTGAAAAGTCTCAACCAATGTGGTTTGTACCTCTCCTGTTTCTTGGGATTCCCTTCAGCTTTGACCTTCTAAAACGTTTAGAAGAATACTAAAAGCAGTGAAAGAATAGCTTTTTGCCATTTTGGAACTTTTACCTGTACAAGTCCCAAAATGGCAAAAAATGCATTCTTTCATTGCAAAGAAAAACGTGAACAAAATAGGTACTAGACTATGTTAACTTGTAGACTTGTAGTTTCTTATAGGGCACTAAATTACAATAATACTTAAGCACAAAGGAGAGAGTGAGTGAGTAAGTTTAGTTTTACGCTGCACTCAGGAATATTCCAGCTATATGGCGGCGGTCTGTAAATAATTGAGTCTGAACCAGACAATCCAGTGATCAATAGCATGAGCATCGATCTGCGCATGGGAACCGATGACATGTGTCAACCAAGCCAGCGAGCCTGACCAACCAATCCCGTTAGTCGCCTCTTACGACAAGCATGGGTTACTGAAGGTTCATTCTAACCCGGACCTTCACGGGTACACAAAGGAGAGAGAGTGAACTCTGCTCAGCTCTGTTGCTGAATAACGTTCTCTAAATCTGAAATGCAGTGTCTTTTATAGTTTCTATTGACAAACTAACCACGCATAATTGTTGCAACTATCCACCCTTAACCCACCCCACCCCCGCCCCCACCCCCACCCCACACACACACACACACATACCACGTGTTAAGGCTTGAACCATACGCTACCCTACCGTGCCCTTGAAAGGTGAAGGTCGGTGTTTTTCTACACAAAAGTTCTAACTGGTATGAGTTTAAAGGTATTGACACACAAAGGAAGCTTTAGTAAGACGCATTTCGGTCCCTTCATTCTATTAGTGTTAATTACGCTATAGCAACAGACACAGTTATGCAATTCACAAAGAACAATTGCCAGTCTGGTTCTGGCTACCCTATGTGTCACAAACATTTATCTAAAATACTGCACAATGTGTATTGATATCTCGGGCTAACGTGCATGGTCAATCTCAATCTCGTAATTAACAATGAAAGAGTTTGCACAGCAGCATGATAAGTTCATGATAAGTTTCATAAAACACAATCTCTTGTTTCGGTATTGTTATGGCATAAAATACACAACACTAAATCACCGATCTCTGAAATCAGGTGACGATTAGCAACGCGAAAAGTCATGGATGGTGTTCGGCAGCTTGACTCCTGTGACATTGAACGACGTCGTTCCTGCCTTATACCGAAACACAATAATGCATGTGGTGTCTCATTGGTCTGTCTCAATCTCGTAATTAACATAGGGCTGAGACTGATCATGACAAGTTTCGTACTAAGACTGTCATTGGTGAACATGCCAACTAACTTCATAATGAGCGTGTGCGACGTATATATATAATGACGTAAGAGTTTATGTACACACAACTACCTTTTAAAAGCGTTAATGGAAACTAGAACCGATTTGATTTAGATCCCTGAACTTTTTAAACTCTGCCAGCTTTTAGAATCCTAGATCAAACTCAACCAAACATATATATACAACAGAGGTGGAAACTATATTGCAATTTTTTTCAAGAGATTTTTTCGCATACTAACAGTTAATCAGTTAGTGGTGAACTTCAAGATGGAAATAGACAGTACCACTTTACGTCTCCACATGATAAAATTAGACATAAATGCTTATTATGAAACGTGTAATTTGAAGGAGCAAGAATTAGCTCTGAAACGTCGTGTAAAGAATATAAAGAAGTTATTATCCATAAAAACATGTCATGTATTCAAACGTGTAATTCGTTACAACAAATCTGGGGCATTCTGATGTATGTTGAAGAAGACGGATGAATCTACATTATTGAGCAGAACGGTAAATTAGGACAGGGCGAAAGTTAGGAAACACGCACAAAGCACACATGGCGTTACAGGGCTGACCCAATAACATACACCAGCTGGTTTCTGTCTCCTCTGACGTTTTCAAAACTTGGCGTTTATTGTTTACTAGACTTGCACAAGTCTCTGAGGAAATATGAACTAGTTAAAAAGATAATTTCTCAAAAATATAAATAAAATTAACACAATTTTCCTCCAACAGTCTAGCGTCCTGCACTCTCTGCTTTTTTAGACTTGACCCTTCAAAGGATATAATTACTATACACCTGCAGGCTTAACATTCAGTAGAGCCTTGGAGCAAGGCTAATTGTTTACATCCATCCCAAGATAGGATGAGATGTAAATAATGCTTTTCTTTGATACATACCCATGGTCAAAACTGAATCAGGACTTCAACTCAATACTAAAATGTTTTATAGATTTTTCACTTTAAAGTTTGTCATTTACCTTTCGCCTTTTCACGCGAAATAAATAAGTATCGTAAATGATTATCCAAATATATTCAGTATATACCACCACCTGCTTTAACCTTTGACATTAGTCTTGTATTCCAGCATGTCAGTTTCCATGAATACGGTCCGTTAAGTTGTCAGGGAAATAACCAATTAGCACAGTACAGGCTGTACACTGAAGGAAACAGTCTGGGAAGCCATGCGGCCATACTAACCTTTCAAATGTAAAAAAAGTAATTTCAACATCAATTGTGATTCGAAAAGGTTTAATACGCGTTTTAAGTTTGGTATCAACTGTAAGGGAACTTGATTTCATCATGTTAAACTTCAACGCTGAAAAACTCTCGTGTTTACTAACTCAACATTGCAGAAGGTAGATCAACTACCATTATTTCTTTGGTGAAGATGGGACCTGGCAATTCGGCATCATACTGGTCTTACAAACTAAGCATTTCAAACATCATATATTTTAATCATATAATTACGATGATGATAATGCGATGTCATGCTTCAAAACTGAGAGTAGTCATATTGCAGTTATTCCAACAATACAAGGTATGTTTCATATACAAATATAACAATATTCCAACCGACAATTTAATGCGACTCTTGGAGTGTGGTATTGTTTTAACTATACAGCAATTGAAAACCTCACATTTACATGGTGTATGATGCATTATGAGAAAACGAAAAACAGTTATATAGATATAATACAACTCAAATGCACAAGCCATATTATTGAATACATGTTGCGATTTCATCCTACCTGGCTATTCCAGTGTATCCGAGAACGCACAGTACGAAGAAAACTTTCGCACCCCCCATCTTGACAACACGAAGGGCCGGGACGGTGTTCACGTGGGATACTGTGTATTCTGGAACACTGAAATGAATGTAACCAGAGCTGACATATATATACAAGAGAGTCTGAGTTTATCTCCGGGTCAAGTGACGGAACTAGGGCATCGCTGATTGGCTGACGAACACGGATGTATTGGATGCTGATAGCACCGGGGGAAGGGAATGGGGAAGGAGTGGGGATTTTGGGGGAGATAAAGTCATAGACACCGTTTTCATTAGCACTGGTAGTGGGCATAATTGCAGCGGACATCAGGGGCGGATACAGCTTTTTGAGAAAGGGGGGGTGCACGCTATTGAGAAAAGGAGGGGTGCACACTTCATTTTCACCCGAGTTTCAATGGTCATTTAACAAACTTTCACCACAAAGGTGCACCCCTGCACCCTCCCCTCTGGATCCGCCTGTGGACATATGACATCATCAAATGGGAAGGGGGTTCTTGCTGTGTAACTGGCTGTGCAGTAGAAACCAGATATCTCTCATCGGATTCTCTCAGGCCAAGACTGACTGACTCACAGTCTCACTCACTGACTCACTATCTATGATCACTGGATTCTCTCTCACCAAATCTATCTGACTGACTGACTGGCTGACTCACAGTCTCACTCACTGGCTCACTAACTATGATCACTGGATTCTCTCTCACCAAATCTATCTGACTGACTGACTGGCTGACTCACAGTCTCACTCACTGGCTCACTAACTATGATCACTGGATTCTCTCTCACCAAATCTATCTGACTGACTGACTGGCTGACTCACAGTCTCACTCACTGGCTCACTAACTATGATCACTGGATTCTCTCTCACCACATCTATCTGACTGACTGACTGGCTGACTCACAGTCTCACTCACTGGCTCACTAACTATGATCACTGGATTCTCTCTCACCAAATCTATCTGACTGACTGACTGGCTGACTCGCGCAGACTATAGAAAGTGTACTCGGGATGTTAAATTATTGGATTTTCAATTTAGATTCATCCACAAGATTATATATACTAAAAAAGAATTGTTGAAGATGAAATTGATTGACAAAAATATTTGTACATTTTGCAAATCAGAACCAGAGGATATTATCCATGTTTTCGTATCGTGTGAACAGGTACAGATGTTCTGGAGTGAACTAAGGATTTTTATTAACAACACCTTTAGCATTGACATTGAACTCTCAGATTTCAAAATCCTATTGGGACTTAACACTGGCTATGATTTTATTAACAACATTATTCTCGCTGGGAAACGATTCATATATATCTCAAGTATAAACAACAGACGGCTGCAAATGTCAGGATTTCTGAAAATAATACAGAATATTGTATTTGTCGAAAAATACATAGCTAAGAAAAACAACAGGCTTAACAAATTTCACAAAAATGGCCTCATAGCTTTATTTCAAACTTTGAAAATCTGCAAGTCTCTGGGCCAATAAATAATCAGCTCCAACATGCCTACGACCCATGAGTTGACTGCTAGAGGTTTGCACGCTGTCTTTTTATACTCATCCTTTTAAACTCTGAAATTAATAACGCTTCTGTCAGCGATAACCAGGTTTTAACATCATATAAATATCCTATAATAATAATAAGAAGAAGAAGAAGAAGAAGAAGAACAACAATGACAAGAATATTTATTACTCAACAAGCAGGTAACCCATGAGCTTGTCGCTGCAGTCATGTACTCCCCGACTTATGTACCTATACTTTCACACTCTGAAAACTTGTAACTTGTTGTTGCCAAGGTATAACCAGCTCCAAGTGCCTTATCCATGGAGTTTGCTACTGGAGTAGTGTACTCCCTGATTTTGTATACCTATATTATCACACTTTGAAAATTTGAACTATTTGTTGCTGATGTATAACCAGCTCTTACATGCCTGTAACCCAGAGAGTCTGTTGCTGGAGGGATGCACTCCCTGACTTTGTGTACCTATATTTTCATACTTCGAAAGTAGTTAACCTGTGTTGCTGATGTATAACTAGCCAGAACATGCCTGTAACTCATGGAGTCTGTTGCTTGAGTGGTTCACTCCCTGACTTTATGTACCTATGTTTTCATACTTCAAAAATAGTAACTTTGTTGCTGATATATAACTAGTTAGAACATGCCTGTAACCCATCGATTCTGTTGTTTGAGTGGTTCACTCCCTGACTTTATGTACCGATGTTTTCATACTTCGAAATTAGTAATTTTATTGCCGATGTATAACTAGCTAGAACATGCCTGTAACCCATGAACTTTGCTGCTGGAGTTGTGCTCTCCCTGACTTTGTATACTTGTAACTATATTCTCTTACTTTGAAAATTTGTAACTCTCTGTTGCCAATATGTAACCAGTCCCAACATGGAGTTGTGTACTCCCCGTCTCTGTATACCTATCTGAAATGAATAAAAAAACAACAACTAAAACAAACAAAACTATGATCACTGGATTCTCTCTCACCAAATCTATCTGACTGACTGACTGGCTGACTCACAGTCTCACTCACTGGCTCACTAACTATGATCACTGGATTCTCTCTCACCAAATCTATCTGACTGACTGACTGGCTGACTCACAGTCTCACTCACTGGCTCACTAACTATGATCACTGGATTCTCTCTCACCAAATCTATCTGACTGACTGACTGGCTGACTCACAGTCTCACTCACTGGCTCACTAACTATGATCACTGGATTCTCTCTCACCAAATCTATCTGACTGACTGACTGGCTGACTCGCGCAGTCACACACCCAAAGGCCACCAAACTCACTCACTCACTCACTTCACAGGTGGACCAATGAAGCGTCGCAGTTAGTTGTGCAGAGTTACCCCCTTGGGCAGGAGAGACGTATGTTTGGGGTTCGAGTCCCAGATCCCTGGGGCAGAATAAACTTCAAGTGATAGGAAATCGAGCCTTGGCCGACGTGACAAGCCAACATGTTTACCAGTTTCTGCTATTCAAGTTTGTCATTTAGCCTCGAAAGAAAACTATGCATCCATCCATGCATCCATCCATGAAAGAAAGAATGGATGGTCAAAATGTGCAGCTTGTTCAACTTGACCTGATCAAGTGAATACTAATGAATTGCGTGACCGTGTCACAACTGGTTGGGTTTATTATTGTGAAGGGGTGCACCTTTGTCAAGTGATTGGTGTAAACGACTGGACTGATTGCTGTACCCATATTGAAAATGTGGAAAGCGACTACTGGGACAGAAATGTTGCAGTTGAACATGAAATAGAAAAAGTGATAATTGAACTGGGTGTAGAGAGTGATAGAGAGAGTGACTCGGATTGTGAAAGTAACTGACGTCTGTAAGTTGTAAAGTTAGCAAACCAAACAAGATAGCATATGACTGTATAAACAATTTAATTAAAACATGACATGATTGTTTTGTTTTTTCAGAAGTGTTGTTTTCCGGGACAAGTTCTGTAACGAATCTATATATGCATGCTTCGCACGAAAGCAACATTAATAACATTCTCTGCACCCCTATTTAATGAAGATAATCCGATCTGCCGTTTGTGCCATTTGACCTCCCGGGTCATGCATATGTAGAGTAGCTGAGGTCAAGCTGAACAAGCTGTAGCTGCATTGTTTGTGTCACTCATTTGCTTGTCTCTGTCAGGGCAACACTGAGACACTGGCCCATCTAGGGTTCAATACATAATGACTGTCAAAATATCTAATCTCGCAGTTGCGAGTAGTACTGACGGTGTCCTCTCACTTCACCTAATTTTTACCCATTTGGCACCTAGAACTAATAAGGTGATGTAGGCATGTTATGCCTGGGTGATTGTTCGGGATTAGGTGGTCTGGGAATGGTAGAGCCCATAACGTTTATTCAGAGGGGGTAAATTAGTGTACACATTCTATCGTTAGAAAACAATGAATGACAGTAATAGCTTAAATAAATACTTTTCATTGGAGGATGGATGGAGGATGAAATTTTTGTCGCATGGGTGCATGCCGAATAAACATATTTTGGGATGGATGCATGTCTCATCAATTTACATAATTTCCATAATAATGATAATACTAGCGACTCCATTTGTAACTGCGTTGGAATGGGGGCTTACGGGGTGTTAATGGAAAGTGAAGCCAAATTACTCAAAGTGTTCGGTGTTTCTGTGTCGATGTGAAAAATATTACAAGGTGTCAATTCATAAAAAAAACTCATACAAATTTAGTTTGTCTTCACTTTCTGCGTTTATAGTCGACATTACGGTACAATAACAAAAGGTAGACATTATATGTCTGCACTTGATTAATAGCCTGGTATTAGAGTGAGTGAGTGGGTATGTGTATGGTTTTACTCCGCTTAACAATATTCCCGCAAAATCACTGCGCGGGTCACTAGAAATGGCTTTTACACATTGTACCCGTGTTGGGAATCGAACCCGGGTCTTCGGCGTGGCGAGCGGGCGCTTTAACCACTAGGCATCAGAACCGACCATGCTACACGTCCGGGAGTTTTTCGCACGGCGTTTTCAAATAATGTCTCCAGTTTAAAACAATTCTTTCAATATAAAACAAAACTTTGACGCTTTCATGCTATGCCTCTTATAGTGTTTTATATTATGTTATCTTGATCATTACCTCTTCTGAAAAACAGAGATTGATGTGTACTTTCTCATCCTATAATGGGCATAGGCAAGAACAGCCAACGAATCAAAGCGGCATCCGTTGGGGTAATTTTCGGATAAATATGCAAATATAAAGATCAGGTCGGAAGTAATTTCACCGTTTTATGCATATGTACACTTGGCTTCGACCTTACTGCGATCGAGTCTTGCGTGTTCTCGGGGACGGGCCGGCTCAACAGATTTGAGTCCTTTCTCCTTTCTATATAAGCCACGTTACGGATTATATAAAACTGATCTATAATTCAGGGTAGGCTGATCACCTGTAGTTGCGTCAGTTCTACTTGTTTCAAATGCAGGTATGGTATGACCAAAGAGATTCATCTGCAAGAACAACTGGATAGCTTCATATTGATAGTTTCATTAAAGGTAAACCTTGCATGGTAATAACA